AACTCTATTATAAGTGTCCTTAAACTGACAAATTGTAATATTTCTGAATAAAGTGTTTTAATAATAATAAGGTAGTCCCTGTATGGGTTATTTTTGAATGTTGACAGTTCTTGTTGGAGTTTTCGGGTTAGTCTGTTAAGGGCTGTTTTGTGTGATGGGTATATATTATTTTAGTTTATAGAGCAGGTATTAGTATGACTCATTTCCGGGGGAGTATATACAATTTAAATTACCTCTAAGAATTATTAAATATACAAAACAAAGTGTTAAATTTCAAACATTAAATAAAAAATTCAAGATATTCAGCACAGTATTTCTGAATTATGTTGTATTATTATAATTACATCATTTTTACAATAGGGTTTCTTTTAACGATCTCCGTTTGGAATAAAGGAAGTTAAATTAAAAAAATAAAATAATAATTTTAAAAAATGTTTAATTTCTTTGGACAGTTAAATTATTGCATTTATATTTATACTTAAATCACATGAATTCCGCTAGAAGTCTAGAGTTGTTGGAGGCTGCAATGTTTCCAGATCTATTGGAACTGAATCAAAACACGGAAGAAAAAGCATATTTTCTTGTGCTGGAATAAAAGATTGTTCAAAACCACAAATGAAGTTATTTTTTTTTTTAAATTAGTATTCCTCCATCATGTATTTCACCTGTGAGACTCAGTTTGGAGTTTTTAGGAACAAACTACGACAGAAGCCCATCTCACGGCGCACAGTGTGCCCTGTAATGAAAACTATGCGACATCGGCTAAAAAAAATAATTTTTTTTATGACTAAAAACTAGATAAACTGTTTAATTGATGCCTTGGACAGTCTGTGAGAATATTTTTAGTTGGCAGAATAAATATTTTATACTGTTTTTAGTAAATAATTCAATTGAAAATCTAGTTAATTTATGGAATTTCGCGTGATCTGTAGGTTTTGTAAAATTGCTTGGTTTGCGCTGATGGTTGATAATGTTTTTGAAACTGTATACGCTTTTTACTGTCATTCTGCCGATTAAAAAATATATAATCATTTCTTAAATTTGTTTTACTTCAAATATTCCCTATTTTAGTCAGCAAAAATGGGTGTTTTTAAATCAATTTTTTACAAATACTACGATTTAAAACCTTCGACATTCTCTGGAAAATTAATTTCTTACAACTTTTCCGTAGTCATTGTTTATGATGAATTGGTATTAATTTAAACCGCCATGGTCCGCTCGAAAGTACTTTAAATATATTTGTAATTATTTTTGTATGTATAAATGTTCAAACAATTTCTAGGTATGTATTAATACCTTCTATAACTAGACATGCTCTAAAATTTAGTTTTAAGAATTGTATTGAACATAAAGAAAATAAGGTTCCGTACTTATTTTTTCGAAATATACCTCAAACCAAAACAATAAAAAAAAAAAATATTAAATATTCGTTTTCATTGTTTTAAAATTGTGTTCAAAATATCATTATCGCTGGTTTTTAATTTGTTTGTAATAAAAGTAAAATAAAGCGTTAATTAATTCATAAAAAGTATTATAAAATGAATATTTATAATTAATAAACGATACACTTTTTAAGTTATTACATATACATACAACATAATTATGTTTTTTAATTTATTGTGTTTTTAAAATAGAAAAAAAGTTGAAATAACGGTTACATGTTGTAATATAGACAGAAGTTGTAAATAGATATCTAAAATTATGCGTTTTCTGAGGTCTATCATTTTCGAAGTTAATTTAGTGTCAAATTTTAAAATTTCCAGGTTTAAACAACGAACCGCAATTTTTTTTTTCGTGGAAATTTTCTATTTTTGACGTCCTATTCGTGTTCTTTGGACTGAAATATCAAATTAATCCGACATCATTTACGAGTTTTATGCCCATGTCCACGAAAACTCGTCTTTCGTCCTACTGTGCGGCGGCCCAAAACATACATCACTTCATCCTACTAGCCTACTTATGCTCTTACATTCTATTCTTTGTTTCACAAAACCTCGCCGTGCGCCAAAGGTCGGGCGTAAGTTGGTCCACAGCTTCTTGATGTGACGTGGTATGGCGAACTGTAAGATTAATAAAAATGGTCATGATAATAATTTTTTTTAATATTACATTAGAAAATTCATCGGTGAGGATGAATTCTCCCTATATTTCTCTTTTCTTTAAATAGCTGATTTTTGGAACTTTTTCGGAATTTGTTGTCCACCATTCAGACGGAAGGTCGCCCCCTGGCAAAATTCGCTAGTGCTGATCACAAAAATAATTGTTTTTATATATTACATTAGAAAATTCGTGTATGAGGATGAATTTTCCCTATATTTCTCTTTTCATTAAACAGGTGCTTAAAATATTAGTTTCTGAAAGGAAGGTCCTTTGTAAGATATTTTGTCAAGTTAAGAAGAATGATGAATGGAGAATTAGATGCAACCAAGAACTAGCCAACTCATACAAGGAGCTGGATGTGGTGAAATATATCCGGGTGGCAAGGCTGAGATGGGAGGACCACGTTTTCCAAATTGATAAGACCTCAATTCCAAATAAGCTGCTGAGCAATAAAAAATTCGGAGCGGGTGAAAAATGAACAGCGGACAGACCGAAACTGAGATGAAAAGATGGAATAAGTGCGGATGCCAGAATCCTTGGAATTAAGAACTGATGGACGTCTATTCACTCAGGACATGGAAACATGGAGGAAAACTCTTGAGGCAGACAAGATCCAGTCAATGGATTGTCGTGCTCGGGATGATGATTACTTTTTTTTATATTACATTAGGAAAATCGTCTATGAGTGGTCGTCCTCTAGTGGCTCCGCTACGCAATCGGTTCCCGACCCCTTCTTGCCTAAATCTTATGATTTCTCTGGGGAGACACGGAGTCGTCATAAAATTATCACAATTTTTTGTGATTTTCAAAAAAAAATTGTCGACTCCAACATAGATGAAACTTTTGAAGAAAAAATTATTTTTTTAATGCTATAGAAATTTATAGTTACGGTTTCTCTGTGGTGCGAAAAACGTCATTTGACCCTAAAAAAATATTTATACTGACTTTTCTATGTCAGTCGATCCAATTTTTACTTTCACTTACCTATATATGAACTATACAGTAATTAATAAAATTCTTGCATATTTTATATTTAACTATTTATATGATCAATATGAAATGGTTAATTGTTTCAAATAAAAAATATTGAAGATATTTTAGAGGAAGCTAATATTCAAAATTTGCCATTTAAGCCACAGTATTGCGATCGTGAAATTTTTCGAATCTGAGTTTTCAACGGAAATACATGTTTTGAGGTCCCACAAAATGGTGTGTGCGCATGCGTGCGTTTGTCCGTGTGGTGTGCGTGTGTGCGCGAACGCGTTTGTATTTATCTGTGTGTATGTATGTGGCAGGTCTAGCTCAAAAACGAAAAGTCGTGTGAAAGTGAAATTGCACATTTAAAATTTGTATATACCTGAGATTTTACAGCAGCTTTTTCGTCAAAATCGGTTAACCAGAAGTGGCACCCAGTATCTTCGATAAAATACATTTTTACTATTTTCTCGAAAACGGCTCGAACAATTTTGATTAGATTCATTTTATCAGTGTAAAATAAAGCAGTTTTTAATATTTTGTAGGTTGATGATATCCTCGTTGATGTTCTCTAACTTAAATGGCTAATTTTCAACACTAGCTTCCTCTAAAATACCTTTACTATTTTTTATTTGAAACAATTAATCATTTCACAGTGATCTCTAATATAAAAAATGCAAGAATTTGATAATTACTAAAGGAGAAATAAGAGATCGTAACCGAGAATAGTAATGAAGGAACCATACGAGCGCGGCCCAGCTCACCCGAAGATTAGGCTTTCACATGTAACATGAGCTTAATATAATACGGAATCCGACAATATTGTGTACATATACGTATTAGGTTTTCCTAAATATTTTCGTTGGCATTATTTAATATTTAATTGTATGAATTACAGTGATATAATTATTAAAAGTTGTAATAAGGGTACTTAAACAAATATAAATATCCACAATGAAATATAAATCAATATAGCGTTTATAATTTTTACTTTCACTTCGTCTTTGTCTGAAAATACTGAATTCTGCTAAGAAGATTGTGGTAAGTGAAAGTTGTGTGATGCGCTCACTGTACCAGATTTTTTTTTTTAATATTCTATTCTTTTTAAAGCTATCAGACAAAATTATAGTTTTTGGAAACAGTTCTATAGATATTTAGGTCAGATTTAAAAAAAATAATAATATTCTTTAGAGATAAACAAAGTTGATATTTGTTTTTCGCTCATTTGAATTATTGTAGCAATCGAAAAATATATAACTTTTTTTTCTCGAAAATCACAAAAATGTTTTGTGATGTTTTTTAGATGACTCCAAGGATTCTAATTGTCAGGGCACCACAGATTATTTGTGGTACAACTTTACCTTTCATCGTTTTTCAAACTCACTCTTCAATCTGCTTATCAGACGCATAATGATAATGATAGGTGTAATAATAAAATCTATTGAGCATTTAGATTTTATTTACTCATTACCCCATCATTTTTTCATTTTGAAATTTGGAACAACTTAACCAATATGTCCAAAGAAAATATTTGAAAAAAAAAACTAAGATGATGTTTTTGATATTTTCAAAATTCACAATTTTAAAAATAAATGAAAATAATTTACTGCATTTAGGTTGTCAATGTCAAATTAAAGCCGAAGTAATAAGATTTAAAATGAGCTATGGAACATTCCTCTTAGCACCATCAATACATTTTATTTTATTTTTAATTTATTTTAAATCAGAGGGTATTAAGCTCTATATTAAAAATGAATTGTGAAAATTTTCTTGTGTACTTAAGCTCAGTTATTTATTGTACAATGTCTTCTTGAGAAATCAACTTTCCTTCAGTCAACTTGTTAAGTGTAATTTAATTAGTTTTAATTAATACCTATATAGCAACAATGCTCTGCAACATAACTGAACAAAGATTTCTATTTCAGTTAGCAAAATGTTGTATAAGAATTGAAGTTGGTGGTTGTGAATGTCACCTGTGTTCAGAAGATTGTTTAGAGCAACATAAAACTCTTCAATCCAACACTCTTCGACGAACCAGTATCCAGCCAGAAAATGCTGAAGAAGATATAATTTCAGAGACTAGAGTTTGTGTTCAGTGTAACGCAGATGTTAGTGTTCAACCAGAGGAAAAGACTTTATCATGGGAGACTATGGAATTTTGCAACGAGGACTGCTTGGGTAAGTAAGGAAATTTATTCATCCAGACTTCAGATGAATAGATACACTTTGCTGAAAGTTTTATTTTGAGCTCTATTTTTCTTTATATTAAAAACACTTAAGACAGAAAAAATTTTTTTTGTTTTGTATAAGTTGTCTTATTACTTTGCTTCCACTTTGTTACTTATTATTCTACAGTAACCTTGATAAGTCTCCCTGATAAAATCTTTATAGTATACATTCTCATTATTGTCATAATTATAATATAAAAATTTAAATTTGAAGGCTATTAATCTATTTATTATCTAAATTTATTATTTTCCTAATCAATTAATCCTCTTATAACCATGGTCAACTTATATTCATCAAATCTTTATCTTCTTAAAGAATTTTCGTGATGTTATAATTTGTGATATGACTAGTGCATCTAAAACCTTCCTTTAAGAACCTCTGCCTGTCATATTTGTCAAGGAAATATCTACCTACCTTCCGTAGAAACTATGTCCAACTATCTTACTTTAGATAGCCTTACCATTTTCTTTACCATCACGTGTGTGCAAAGAAGAAAACCTCTGTAAGATGATCCTGTCTTTTCCTGTGAAAACTGCTAGTTCACTATCTCCAAGTCTGAAAATAGCTCATAAAACTTACTATTTACTCTTCTCTAATTATTAATTTGTAATCTAATTGTAAGGATTGGTTAGTTTATGGGAGTTGGTTTTATGCTGAGAAAACAACACTTACAAATCTTAAATCATAAGGTGTATTTTCTAAAAAATCTTCTAATTTCTTTTATATCTTACCAAATTAATATTCAAAATAGATCCCACTGTTTTCAACCAGTTGGATGGATGTCATACTGGAATCATTCTTTGGGATAGCTGTAGAAAAAAATCTTGCATTACATTTCAACCTTTGTAAAATTATTATTTTTTTTCTCTTGAGGAATTAAAGCCTGGAACAAAATAAGTTATAATCTGAAGGTGTAAGGTTTTATGTTGAAAGTGGTCGAAGTTTGGTCCTACGAAGATTGTTAACTTTTGTTCGAACAGAAAGTTACCCTACTGGAATAGAAGATCTTTATGATTAACCATCAGGCCAATGATATCACCCTGATTCCTATTGTTCCAAGTACCTAATTGTTGAATTTTTGAAACCAATTCCACACTCTTCAATGGTCAAGGACTTATTTACCTTAAGTTTTATTTAAAAGTTTAAATATTATAACATGTTGACTGCCGACCTATGAGATAATTCATAGTTAGTATTGTTCATTTAGGCGCTGGAGTTTTGCTACTACAATGAAAGTAGTAATGATTTTTTATGATGACTGTGTGTATCAAAAATAAAAGTAATCTATGAAGTAATATATAAAGTAATCTATGAAATAATAATAACCTATGAAGTAATCTATGAAATACTCCTTATGATAAAATAAAACAACACTTAACTGTTATTTAATTTTATCTGGTATTTCTTTATACTTTGTTAACAGATTGTTAAATTGTACTCCCTTTTTTTTTCTTGATTTAGAATTCTTACTAATTTATTTTGTTAATTAATGGCTTTTATGCAGATATGTAACCTTTTAACATATAACTGTCGTATCGCGATTGTCCTACAGGTGCTCTTTAATTGGTTTTTTGTTTGCCTTTATATGTTTACCTCAATTTCTTTAAGCAAGAAAAAATCATTACATTCATAACCGTGATGAATCCTGCTGGAATAATATCGCCCAACGGTTTAAAATGTATTGAACTTCTGCGAACCCGTAGACAGAAGCTGATTTTTTAAGAAGTTTCCTTTTACTTTTACGGCAGTTCAACATTTAAAAGGACTATTATTTAACATATTTTCATATATATACCTTTTGAATTTTTTTGGAACTTCTTTTACAGGTTTAGCTATATATTAGGTTACAATTAGAAATATTCCAACCACTGAGCCTTATTTATCAAAAATACAGGTAAAGAATAAAAAAAAAAAAAAACATTTCTCTACCGAACTGAATAACATTTCTCTAATTCAGGCATCATCTGTACTGAAAAGAAAATATACTGAAGATCAAATCATTTCATGACATTCAACCGCATACTCTATGAAGTGATGTGATCTTCGCTCTCTTTTCTTTTCTGTCCTGACAATGGTAGAATTGGTTACACATTGACAAATATTTTTATTCTTCACCTGTATTGTATTTTGGAAACGTGATGCTTTGTGGTTGGATTTTTCCAATTGTAATCTAACATTGAATTTCTATCTCTTGGTGGGTTTTTTACTGATTTATATTAGTATTAGCTGTGTAATTTTTAATTTTGGCATTTTTATTTTTATTAATATGATATTTCACAATGGCAGAGCAATAATTTTCTATGCCTTTTTCCACATTTCTTTAAAACCCATGTCGTCTGTTGGCAACTTATGGTTTTATTTTTTTGGGGGGTTTGTTTTTGTAGAGAAGTACATAAATTGAAAACTGAAATGAAAAAAAAGATTAAGTTAATGAGAGAAATTTTGATGGAATTTTGAAAAAAAAAAGAGGATAAATATTTCTACTAAGAAATATTTATAAGTCCTCAAATAAACGAGATCTTGATGATCAAACCTGTTAAATGGTTAAAGAATGATCTTTAACATTCTTCCTAATAGTCTAGTGATGTTCCTGGTTTGAATCCTGTCCGTGTGGGTTGAAATTTATTTTGTGGTGGATCCACAGAACAAATCCTGTACTTCGCACTCTGATTAGAATAGGTTTGCATCTACCACTAGAATTATTTTTTTTCCCACTTTTTTTGTCTGCCATAATATCTTTTTTTTTTTAATAAGTATTACTTATTTTTATACCAGTTACTGAATTTTTGATCAATCCTGTTAATTTTGTATGTTAAACTGGTTTTAATTTATTCTCTTATATTTTAGGTAAATACCAATCTAGGATGTGGACTTGTTGTACTGGGTGTTCTAAAGAAGTTCCTACTGCTTCGATGGGAAAGTACTGTGTGAGATTTGGTCATGAGGCAAGTATTTTATTTTGTGTCTGTTGTATTATTTTATTTAAAAAAAAAAAAAAAAATTAAGTTATACTTAGCAGGAGGGGTATCTCTCAACCTCCTCCTGTGTGAAGACATGATAAAACATACGGTTAAAAAAAAATGGCTCAGCAGGTCTGCCAGAAAACCTTAAGGTGAAAATAACTCCAAAAGGATATACCTTGAGGAAGTACTTCCCCACAGTCTGTTTAGAAGCAAAGTGGATCCTCCCGGACTACTGGCTCTTGCAATTTCTCACAGGCCATGGGGGCTTTCGAGCAAAGCTTAATTGCCATGGGATGGACATCGACCCCCTATGCCCTAGCTGCGGTGACCCGGAGACTGCTGAGCGCATCACAGTTGACTGCACCGCTTTTGAAGAACTAAGGGCTGAATTACTGAGGGGAACCAGTCTCTATATTCTCACAGAGAACGATTTTCCACAATTAGTCACTGTTGAAAACTACCTATACTCCAAAGATTTTGTATACGAGTGGAAAGCCGCGGTGGGCCCAGTCATTTCAATCTTAAAAGAGGAGGAAGAGCGAGCTACTAGACCATTGGTATGAAAAGCATAGGAAAATCACTCAAGTAAACTAAGTAAATCAAGAAAGAGCAGAAGATCAAGCTTTACTTGCACCAGTGAAAAGTTAAGCTGACCTACCTAACATTTTACTATTGCAGACACCCGTATTGCCTACTAGGCACGGCAGGGTTTTAAATACATAAAATAATAAAAGTTATTCTATAAATATAATACCAAAATAAGTTAACATTTGACTCTAGAGAAAATTCAAAATAAGACTTTTTTGAAAATCATTATACCAGGTGTGTAGATAAGAAATTGGAATTCGTCCATAGATGGCTGTTAGTAGTTGATCTGTTTGCCATTAAACTGCATTATTGGCACAATTATGTTTTTTTTTTTTTTTTTTGAAAATTTTGAACTCACAGCAATATAAATTTTATATTTAGGCAACGTTTTAATAGTGTTGATCGAACATGTCGAGTTTTGAGCATATAAACTGCTGCCAGCATTAGTTTTGTTACTATTATAAGGAAACTGATGTAGAATCATATCTAATGCTTGTTGAAGTTGAGCATATTTTTGGTATATAACAGTGCTTTGAGTGGTTTAAAAAAGTGGCGATTGTGACATGAGAAATAAAGAATGTGAAATGTAGGTGTGATTTGTTATGAATGGCTAAAATCTTTGGAAACAATTAATACTGATTGCTATAGATAACAAATGATTGATTTGAATCAAGTATTGCATAAAAACAACCAGAATATCAAAAAATATAACACAAAATGATTTGGCTTCCTGATTATGCACCATCATATGCAGCAAAACCAGAAAAAGAAATAGTTAAGACATTCAATTGGAAAATATTTGAATATAAATCCCAGACTTTGCTCCACCCAACCGCAACTTATTTGCACTGATATGGCAGCACTTGCTTATAGTGCTTCATTTCTTCTGACAATTCTTGATGACTGGTTTAGACCAAAGAGCAAATGTTTTTATGGCATTCATAAATTTCCAGAGAAATAGAAAATATTTTGAATATTTTTTTTTTGTGACTACTGATATTTCATCTAAATACTGGTTTTAAAACTGAATGTTAAAGAATGGGTTGGAGACTCGTACCAAATATTGGTACAATATTCATACCAAATATTGTTTACTTAATATTTGTACCTAGAACAGTTTATTAAATATATGTATCTAGAATAAATTTGTTTTAGCTAAATATTTCACTTTACTTCAATTTGTTTGATTTTTGTGTTAACTGGGGATTTGTTAAAAAAATGCAATGATTTTTGCTAGGCTAAGAAAGTAATTTGTATTAAATTATACAACTTAGTTTTATAGTTTTCTGGAAGAAAAAAAAAGGTGTATATATATATATATATATATATATATATATATATGAGGTTTCATTTAAGTTGTAAAAGATAATATTATCTACGATTTGTAATTATTTTTTAACGGGTATGTTTTATTTTGTTTTTCTAGATTAAACAATTTTGTTGTTCATCATGTTTGGAAGATTTCAAAAAAGGAATAAAAGCTTGTTCATACTGTCAGAAAGATCTTTCTGTCGGCGATGAAGGATTCCTTGCACCTATTGCAGATAAAAACCAGTTTAGGGTAAGCTGATGTAATTTCATTATTATTTATTTTATTTATTACTTTAAATGTAAACAAAAAAAAATTTGTGTGTGTGTGTGCGTGCATTTTTATGCTAGTTAATATTAGATGGATTATTTTTACAGGATTTCTGCAGTCAGAACTGTTTAGATGAATACGATTGCATGTCCAGAAATCTTCCAGCCGGTGGTCTAAAGGTTGAAGCCTGTGGAGTTTGTGATAAAACTCAATTAGTTCAAGTTCAAGTGATCACTGCTGCTAGTACAGTCAACCTTTGTTCTGAAGTTTGCTTTAAAGCTTTCAAATTTGTAAATAAATCGATTTCTCCGAGTAAGTCTCCTTATATAAGCCTAGTTAAACAATATTATTATATTCGATCTCCGTTTGCTTTCTATATTGCATGTAATAATGTTTTAAAATGAATAAAAGTACTATTGTCATATTTTCAAAATTTTAAATCTTGAGATTTTAGAAAAAAAGATCAGTCTATTCTATGATTTGACCTACCTCCTGCTTAGTTTTTCACAATTTCTAAAATTTGATTTTTAACACTTTTGTTAGATATACTCAACTATTCTTTTAACCTAGAGTAAATACTATAGAATTTTGTGTCCAACAGGAAATTACTTAAATTTTTTTTTGGAATAATTTAATAAACAAGTATGCATTTTGTTATCTAACTCATAGTAAACTGGCAGCTAGTTTTTCTAGTTTAAATCAAAGTGGAAGTGTTCCAGAAAAGTGGGAAGTGTTTCTGTTACCTATATCTGATTTTTTTCCTAAATTACGTTTTTTCTTCTAATTTGAAAAAAAGTAAGCAACAAGTTCTAACTTTTTCTTCTGTCAGAAAAATGTCTTCATTAATTGTAGATATTTCTATCTTCATTATATATTATGTTCTTCAATTTCAGATCCTTGTTATATGTGTAAAAAATATTTTGAAACATGTTCAGTCAACAAAGTTACGGTGTATTATGAAAATGAACTTCTTTCTTTTTGTTCTAAAACTTGTATGAACATCAATATACTTGCCAAAAGAAGAATTGTCGCTTGTAATTGGTGTAAAGTAAGTACAGATGATATTTCAGTTTTAATTTTTGTATGATTACTGTGTTTTTATTCTTAAAAATCTTTTCATGTTACAACCTGCATTATTTCAAATTGTATGAAAACATAACAGGCAGATATTGTAATAAGTTATCTATTTCGAATTCTGTTTTTTGTTTTTTTAGGTAAAAAAATATAACTTTGATATGATTCGGAGAAAGTCGGCAAACAAAGTTGTTACCAACTGGTGTTCTTTAAATTGTATGGCACTCTATCAAGTTTCTTTAAATGCAATTAGCCTTCGCAAGTAAGTGGATATGATTATTACTTAGATGAAAGTGAATTATTTTATTATTTCAGAAGAAGTTAGTCGGGGGTGCGTTCAAAAAATACTATATTATTTAATAGTAAATATTTTATTACATTGTCCAACATTTCGATCTACGTTGTAGGTCTTCTTCAGGGCAGTCTGTTTGGCAATGTTTGAGGTAGTATGGCGACTGGCTGTCTGTTATTTTATTATTCTTTTATTAATACAGTTATGGTCATAATTGTTTTAGGTTATGTCCTTCAGTTAATAAGGAATTTTTTTCTTTGATTTAAACTGCTGTTTGATTATAATAATTACTGATTGTTTATTAAATTATTACTTTGGTGCCACATTTGCTGCTAGCAATGATATTTTAAAAATTTATTCCAAAAAATATTATTGTCTCAATTCTTGTGAAAATAATTGATAAAATATTAAAATTTATAAAAATTAGAATTTATAAAATTGCAATTGCGAAAATATTTTTGTTTCCTGTTCCCCTTAAAAAAGGTCTTCATTAACACTCTGAAGGTCGCACCAAATCTGAGAGATCCGGTCGAGCGGTCTATTTGATGTGTTTTTATACCGCTTGTTGAACTTACTTTCCTGGTTATTGAAGTCTTACAATCCAATTGGGGGGTGATCAATGTTGCATACAATTTTTGTGAAAAAACTTCAGGATTGTCGGCGTATGTGGAAATTTTTCACAGGAAAGGGATGCAATGGAAACTAATATAATTGAAATCAAAACCTTTATTGGGCTGTTGTATATTGCAGCACTGCATTAAGCCGGGGGAAAAAATCTGGATGATTTATGGGACTCAACTGGCAAAATTTATTCTAAGTTTAGAATCGAAATATTTCGTCACACTATGAGTGTAGGAAGGTTTGGATTTTTACTTTGATTGCTTAGTTAGCCAGAAACTCCCAATCTTATTATTCTGTTGGAACTGACGTGACTTTCAATGAGAAATTAGAGGCCTTCAGAGGCTGATGTTCTAATTTTTGCAACGTATTTTTCGTTTTGATTTTTAATATATTGTTTTAAAATTATGTTAATGTCTTATATCTCTTTCTTTAATACAATAAGAAATTTATTGGTATTTTTGATCAATAAATTGATTTAGTGAAGTGGATCTCATAGGTCCATAGCGGTCTCTCATATGACTCTAAGGCTAGCGAACTTTTGAATTTTAACCGAATAAGATTTAGTGGCACTAAAGTTATCCTCAATTCTGATTTATTCATGATAGTCCTGGTCTTAAGTGTTTCTGTGTTTCTGGAATACTATGCATACAGATTTTGAATTATCTTTTCTAATTTTGTTAGATTATTTACTTATAATATGTGAATTTTAAATTTGAACAAAAAACTATGGGTTCCAAAAGACTACTCGATGTTTTCCTTTGTTTTGTATAGGAGAAATAGCATTTCCCTCTCCACACATGAATTGACCCATATGTACCTGTATATGACATGTTGGCTTTCATTGTATTGTGAATGTGAAATTTGTTAAAAGCAATTTAAATGAAAAAAAAAAATATATAAATAGAAATTCGTATATATATATATATATATTTTATTATTATTTTTATTTAAACTATAAACTACTTTTTAAAAATATTACTAGTGTAGGTGAGCTTTAGGTTCTTTTTTTGTTTTGGTAAACTTTTTATGAGGGAGGTTATTGCTGATTTAATTTAACATCTCTCGGTAAATATGATTTGTTTCACAGTGGCAATAAAGTTTATTAGTGACTTGTTTGTATATTAATGTGTACCAGTTTTTTTCTATTAATCGAAATTATAATTGATTCTTATATGAAATAACCAGATTAAGTTAAGAAGCACTAAATAGGGTTAAGGCACTTTTTCTTAAAATAAGATTGTTATTAACTAAATTTCATTTTGGCATTTGTACATTTTAAATATTGCAGTACCTTGTTTAAAAAATAAGTGATACCTTTAATGCCTGATTTGTTAATATTAATTGAATTACCGTTTATTTATTCTGTTCATAGCAAAACAAATTGTGCTCAATGTTACAAATATGGTTTGCCACTTCTTCATCTTACAATGTCTGATGCTACCATCAGGAATTTCTGCTCTCATGAATGTGTACATAAGTTTAAAATCAGCTATAAAGATATAAGTGGCACTGGCGTTTTCCCAACTGGTAATTATTATTACTTAATATCTAATTTACATTTTAAGCTAGCCTATTTATTCTATTAATTCCTTTTTTTTATTACAGTTTTTTTTTAAATAGCTGATTGTGTAGCTATGAATATAGTTGTTGATAACTATAATTTTGTATATTTTTACTTTTATTTACCTATATATGTAATATATACTGAGGAAGGAAAGTATTGAATCGTGAAAATTTTGAATCTGAGTTTTTAAAGGAAATACACGTTTTGAGTCCAAATAACCTCTAAAAATGGTCTGTGTGTATCTGAACAGTCTAGCTCAAAAACGAAAAGTCGTATGAATCTGATATTACCTATTTATGCCTTAAATGTAACAGCAATTTTTTCCTTTAAATCGGCTAACCGGAAGTGCCATTTTATATCTGCGGTGAAACACATTTTTACAATTTTCTCAAAAACGGCTCTAATTATTTTGATTAAACTTGGTATATCATTGTATAATTAAGTGGTCTTTAATATCATTTAGGTCTTATCCCTATTGATGTTACTTTACAGGGCTTAAATGTCCAATGTTCATATACGTCTTCCTCTAAAGTACTTTTAATATGGTTTATTTAAAAAATTAACTCTCTTTTATTGGCAGTAACTATAAAAAATGGCTAAATATGAAGTTTGAAAGAATATGATCATTGGAAACGAGAAAATGCTTATCCAAGTTAAAAATGAATTTCCGGAAATTACAGTCAGAAGGTTTATGTATAATATATCATTGGAAAGTGGAGAGAGAATTTTAGAAAAAATAATATCAAATAAATAAAGTTATATAAGATAACGGAGAGTGATGGAAAAATGTAAATAATAATTTCAGAAAACTAACATTATTTAATGTAAATCACATGTTTCCAAGGAAATGAAATGAAATTTTCTTATTAAATGTAAACTTTTAAATTTTTTTTAAGTTTTAAAAAAATAGTATTTAAAATCCACCGAATCAAGCCAATGGCATTGTTTAAAATACTATTTTGTATGACATAAGAAGTGAAATATAAAAATATTTCATGGATATATTTATCACCTTAAATACATTTACTGTACTTTAATAACTCTAGATATGATATTATATTTAAATAATCAGGTATCTATTGGCCCTTTATTACAAAAAATCATCAAGTAGCCTTTTTGAAAATTAAATTAGTGAATAATTTGATAAATTTTCGCTTTGTGAAATAGGATATTATCCAATTACAATTAGTGTGACAACTTTGGAAAGTATCAGTTTAATAACTTATAGTCCTACAATCAATAATCATTTATAGGTTAAATATTCAAATATACTTTCAAATCTATCTAGGCATATATGAGCCTTTCGGTTGACAGAATGACTAACTCCATTTTCAACATTCAACATTATTAATTTTAGTGATGTTTCTAGTGGCAAAATTGATGTCTTTATTGACTTCTGTATTTCAACACTGCAATCACCCACCTACTCTGGAATAAACTACTCACTGTATAGATATAACTTTTCCTACTAGAAATATCACTGAAATGACATTAGTCAAAAATGTTGAAATTGGAGTTAGACATTCTAGCAACTGAAAGGCTCTGAGACCTAAGTTATTTGGTTTATAAAAACAGATGTAGTAACTAGATTTTTATTGCCTACCGTTGATGTTATATATAGACTTTTTGTAATATTAATGGTCTTAATGATTTGTAATCTGTAAGCTTTAGTTCTGTTTAAAATTCATTTCATAAATTTTATAATATCTCAACATTGCCAGAAAATAATTTCAAATCAAAGTAGAGCAGTAAGTGAAAGTTGTGTGTTGCGCGCTCCTGATTTTTTTATTTTGTTCTTTTATTTCATTGTAGAAAATTAATTTGTTTTAATAGAATGAAATAGAAGGTCACTATTTCTGGTTAACGTTATTCTTAAAGCAATATCATGTGAATTAAAATTATAGTGGTTGTAGAAAAAGAAAAGAAATGAACCACAATATAAGATATCAAAATATCTTATACTTCAAGTTACTGTGTATCTTGTTTTTATTACTTTTCTGTATCCATTACTTGTTTTTAAGTATAATTTTTTTTTTTTTTTTTTTTATAGGTGGCCCAAAACGAGTAGTGAGGGCAAAAAGCATTCTACCTGCCAATTCTGAAAAAAGTACAACTTTTTCAGGTAAGAATGTATAACATTTTTTTTCTTCTTCAACAACTCCATTTAAATATTTAAAGAGCTTGTAGCAATCGAACAGTTGTAATAATAATTAAATATTGAAAATAGGTTAATTGAAAAGATATCAATAATATATTGTGATTGCTTCTTCAGTTTGTTTCGCAAAAATACTTCTCCCAGAACCCTACCTGTTACAATTATTTTAAAATCAGTATGTGTTATTTTCAGAAAAAGATTTTATTATTTTATAAATCTATATATTTGTAAATTATTCTTTTTTAGAGAACATGGGAAAAGATGTTTCTGGTTTCAAATTAAAACCGATTAATCCTGCAGTCAATGCTTCCACGCCAGTTGGTTCTGCTGTTGTCCAAAGCAAGCATGATGAACTTCATTGTGCATCTCCTTTGGTAAGAGGAATAATCTTTATAAATTATTATAATCATGTATGAGCACATTTACAATTATTATAAGACTCTTATTGTTATAAATAAATGATTGGTTTCATATCAAAGACGAACATCTAATTTTCAGGAAGTTAAGGAAAATTCAATTATCGTTTTATAGTTTCAATTTAAACTAATTATGATTACTTTTATAAAGATTAGTTCAGTTGAATTATTTATTTTTATAAAAATTAAAAGAAAAAATTCATCAGAATTAGCTTGAATTTGAGCAATAAAAAAAAATTGACTTCTTAACTTTATGAAAATGATAGATGTATTTTGATATTTAGCCATTCAAATTTTCTTTTTAATTAAGAGTGACATGCATTTTATTTATAATACATTTGATTTTGCAGAACACCGCCTTAACTATACCAACTCCTCCCCCTAATGTTTTGACCCTTTCTGCTATTAACCCAGATGTCAAAAATGCCAAGATTCAAGTATACTGCCAAACAGCAAACAAAGCTGTCTTGACTAAACCGTACCGATCTACAAGAAGTTCTCAAACCGGTATGACTATTTTTTATTTAATTGTTTTCTATTGATTCTGAGAAATTTATTTATTTATTATTTTTCTTAACTGTAAAAATTTCATCAAATCCTCTAATTACTACTTAATAATCTATGTGTATTTATTATAATTACTTAATAATCTATGTGTATTTATTATAATTTCAGATAAAGTCGAAGAGAAAGGTCCAGTGCTTATACCAGTTCCAGTTCCTATTTTCGTTCCAGTGCCATTAGCCATGTACTCCATACCAGTTCCAACTCCTTTTCCATTTCCTGTACCCATACCAGTACCTATTATAATACCAACTACTCGGGGGACTGCAGAAGAAATAATGGCAGATATAAAAGTATGTTGTTTTTGTATTATTTATTGTATAATTAATGCTATAGTATTTTTTTATTATTATTATTAAGTTTCTAACCAGTAGAGTAAAGATGCTCTGAATTTATTAATTGTCACTTTAAAAAGTGTGGACGCATTTTGATAAAACTCTAGATTCTCCTAAAGAAAGGAAAAGAAGTCTGTGTATCATTGTGTAATTAAGTGGTCTTTAATATCTCTGAGTTCTTATCCCCATTGATGTCACTTTACAGGGCTTAAATGCTTTAATGTTCAACATGTCTTCCTCTAAAGTACCTTTAATTTGGTTTCTTTTAAATAATTAACCATCTCTTATTATTAAGAGTTACGAAAAAATGCTAAATATAACTTTTGAAAGAATTTGATAATTGAAAAATGGAGAAAAATAGGAAAATATTTATTTAGGTTGAAAATGAATTTCCAGAAATACTTGTCAGAAGATATATGTATAATATATCGTTGGAAAGTGAAGACTTTTAGAAAAAACAATATCTAATATAAAAAAGTAATGCAGAGTGACAAAAAATTATAAATAATAATTTGTGAAAACTAATATTATTTAACGGAAATCACATGTTTTCAAGGAAATTAAATGAAATTTACTAAATGTAATCTTTTTTTAAGTTCGAAAATAAAAATTAAAAATCCACCTAATCAAGGCAATGGTATTGTTTAAAAACTATTTCATAGTACTTATGTGAAAGAAGAACTGAAATATAAAAATATTTCATGGTTATGCATGTTCTTATAACCTTGGATGGAGTACCGAGGTTTCCGTTGATATAATTAATAGGGTTTTTGTTAATTTAATGGTGTTAATAATTTGTTAGCTATAAATTTTAAGCTATAGGCTGTTAAGTGCACTTCAAAAATTTTATAATTGTCCAACATTGCCAGAAAATAATTTCTGTTCAAAGTAGAAAGGTAAGTGAAACTTGTGTGTTGTGCGCACCAGATTTTTAAATTCAAATTTGTAGGTTCTATGTTTTCAAAAATTATGAAAGGTTGTTCATTAGAAAGATAGAAGATAGAAAAAAAAAAACTTTATTCTGGGACTAAGTCCCTTCAGAATAACAATAATGTACAAAATAATAGAATATTACTGGCCTGAACGTTGAAACAATAAATAAAATTGATAAAATAAAATAAAAAGTAAAGAAAACCTTAGGTGCACAAGCTATATACAAACAGATAAAACTATGTACAGAGCATTTAAAATTATGAACAAAACAATTAAAACTATGAACGAATCACTTGAACTATGAACAAAATTATATTTAAGGGTTGAACAACATAAACATACACTTTGAGAAATGAAGAACGAAAAAGAGATACAATGAGTTCATTTCATAAAAAAAAAAAAAAAAAAACTTTACTTGAATATATATATAAAAATAAACAGTTACTTATAATTGAATAAAAAAAAATATAAAAAAAAATGTATGTATTGAAATTCCTACGTCGATAGTAGGAAATGCATGTACTATCTCTTACCAAGTGTTATGATTATATGATTGCTACACAATACATATATAATATCAATAGTTAGCTGGTATCAGACTGTTTTTGGAACAGGAATTGGAATAGGAGGTTTTTGAATGTATACAGGGAAGGGGCATATGTCGAATTTTGATCGGTAGGGAATTCCAAAAGTTGACAGAGCGGGCTATAAAGGAATTTTGGAATGAGGCAGATCCATGAGAAGGGATGTATAGGTCAGAGGGTCGGGATCTTGTAATGAGTGAATGGATTGAGGACTTAAATTGGAGAAGGTTGTAGGCATAAGAAGGACGATGATCGGTAATGATTTGATAAAGGAAAGTGCCAAGGAAATATTGTCTTCTTAAGGAGGGGAAGAGCCACCCTAACTCAGTGTAGTGGTGGAAGACACGGGAGCGTCTCGGGGTTCCAATTACAAATCTTACGAAACAATTCATAAGTCTTTTGAGTCTATCATGCAGTTCCACCGAGAGGCCATCGTACACCACACAGCTGTAGTCAAAGTGGGGAAAGATGAGAGAGGAAACTATGAGTCTACGGGTATTTTGGGGTAGAAGATGGCGGAAGTGATGGAATAGTTTGAGGGTAGAAATTGCACGGCGGGATATATGAGAGATATGGTGATTCCAGGAAAGGGTTTGATCTATGAGAAAGCCTAAATTTTTAACAAAGGGATAGAAGGTGATTACATCTTAAAGTTAAAGGTTAATCATTACATCATTACCTTTTTACATTTTCATAGTTTTTAATATTTATACATGCAGTTATATCACTATAGTTTGTTTTAAAAACTACTCATATATATATGCATATAAATACACACGTATATAAAGATAATTATAATACAAATCCAATTTAGAATTTGAGCAGTGTAGACCAAAATAGATTAAAATTTTGCTTTGATTGAATTTTAACTCAGTATGTTAAAAAAAAGTTTTTAAAATGAAAATTATAATAATAAAAGTTCTTACAGGTAGGCCAAAAAAAAATTCTTATATTTAGAACAAAAACAGTTCGGAGTATTTCTCTGCTAAAACTACACAATCTGGCTAGTATTATTTCTTGACCTGCAGAATAATCCATCCTTCTGGTGCTGGCTTCATTTTTTTTTTTTTTTTTAAAGATATCCCCGTCACTTGAACGTGACTATTTTAAATCCATTGTCTCATAGGGTTGCCAGGTAACGACGGTACCGTGCACACACGTTAGCCCGTTCGGTCACCCCGTCCTTCTGGTGCTAGCTGAAATACATAAGGGTATAGAACCCAATAGGCTATAAACAACAAATCAAATATATTTATCAAGTTGATCTGATACTTGGTCCAACCCCCTAGAGTATACAATTAAGAGTTTTAAGTTTCTTGAGAAATGCCTTGTGAATTATTATGTTACAGCAAGATTATGCATAGATAAGTCTATTTAGCATGTTTGAAAAAGCTAAATATTAACCTTTTAATTGTGAATGGTAGTGTAAGGTGGGTGTGTGTCTTAAGAGGAATGGGTATACCAATGCTAATCCATGTCTAAGGTAGGAGGCCACTCTCATAATCTTGTTCTTCTTGTTTGTAGAATTGTTTCTTGTTTATTTTTCTTCTACTTGATACATATCTCTGGTGAGTTAACAACTATTTTCTGATATAGCTATATAAATGAAAAAGTTCAGGAAGCAAACTGTAAACTGATCAATGTTTAAAGTAATTTTAAGGAACTGAACAAGTAAAATAACAGCAAAGCACAAGGAGAGCCAGGAGAATAAATTTGATATAATTGGCTCAAATGCTATCTAGTGAGAAATTTTAGAAGTAAGAAGTTCCAGTAACTAATTTTGGTAATATGAATTGGGCAAGCACATTGGCATCTTGTTTATTATTAAGTATAACTTAACTAGACTAATATGACTCTCTGATTTTATATTAAAGAAGAAAGGAAGTCACAAATAAAAGAAGAAGATAATGGATATTATGTAAGCAAGTACCTATGGATTAGTAAAATTATTGCTGTTTGTATATTTTCATTTAATATAAGCTAAGAAAATTGAGTGGATTAATAATTACTACTTCCAGGCTTATAATGAATTAAGACATTTTGACTTCATGGTTAAAATATTTTAAATACTAGCTCTTTAAGAGAGGATATAAGAAGCTCAACTATATTGGGAGTAGTCTAAAATTTAATTATGAAAGAAGTTTGTGTTGATGGAAAAAAATAGAAACAAACATGCAATATTAAAGCAACAAATGCTTACCACAAAAAGACAGTCACAGGGATAACTGTAACAACTGAAAATTTACTAATAAGTGAAGTTATAATAACTATTTACTGCCCATTGCAAAGTAATTAACATCACAAATTTAATTATATGTTCAATTATATTTTTGGTTAATACATAATCGAAATTTGGTGAATAAATTAAATATCCATTCCTTACATAGATAGTAGGTAGTATGTTAGTAGGGTTTTTTTTTTATCCTATACTTTGATCGTCAGTTTATTTAGTGGTGATAGTATAAAGCAGGGCAGATCTACAGGGAGGGACTTTCCCTCTGAAGCCCTTCCCAAAATGGTAAAATGTAACCATATTTTACAGAAAAAATACTTTATACTATCTCTTAAAGTATTCTTGTTGGTGTAATTACGTTTAATAGGACTTCAAGAACCACTTAAACACCATTTCATATAGATAATTAATTAATTTCTTTTTTTCAAATTAATTATCGTTTTATATATATATATGAAAAAAAAAACTGTCGGGCTGAAGCCCCCCCCCCAAAAAAAAACTAAATCCTGGATCCGCTAGTGGTATAAAGCGAAGAAATAACGAAATCTATGGAAAATAACGGGCTTATGGGATTGTAAACAGAAATTACAAGAATGGGAATTCGGTACAGCCTCTGCTTCAGTCGTTTTTTTGTAGTAAAAAGGCGAATTCCGCTCACGTTTTACGTTTCAGACATCAAGGAGCAAATTTGGTTCGGTGACAGTCTATTCTTTTTTTTTTTTGGGTCCTCCCCTTCCTTGCCGTTAAGGCTATACGGGGTTTTTCCGGGCCAGGTTGTGTGCCCGGAGATTTAAAAGACGTCTTGGCACCGGGCCGCGAACTCATGACTATTTTTGTATCATTTATCATATATCAGGTTGCTGGGCAACGGTGATGCTGTGGACAACGCGTTAGCCCATTCGGCCACCCCGCCCACAGTGACTGTCTATTCGTAGTCAAATCGATGTTGCGGGCACATTACCTACCACCGTTTATCTGATTTTCAGAGATTGTGCGGATTGGTGCCTAGATGGTCCCATATCAATTTTTTCAAATTCCATCGAGCGCTTCTGCCTACGCAATCGCAAACGTATTTTTTTTAGGTTGCAATATTTCAGAAATGGCTCGATCGATTTGGCTCAAAGTTGGACAAAAGGTAGGTATTTGTGAACAAATAATATAGTGTCAATTTAATTGAATTATATTCACTACTTTCTCTTATGTATGAGCAAACGTATTTTCCTTGACACGTCTGTTTCTAATATTGCCCGTTCGATTTGAAGAGAAGTTAGGAATTGGTAAACAGATAATTAAGTATGTATGAATTTTATCAGATTCTATCCAATACTCAAAAACAAAAACAAAATCCGCTTTCAGGTCAAGGAATGTATTATTTGACACGCCTATAGTTTGAAAACTCCGCGTTCGATTTGACCCAAACTTAGAGGAAATTTGGCGAATAGTATAGAAATTACCTAGTATCAATTGCATTGAATTCCATTTAGTAATTAAAATAACTATGAATAATTGTTAACAACATAATGGCTGTGAAATGTGGAAGGCGTTGGCCATAGGGAGTGGGAGTTAAGACAATATTTTTATGGAGTTATAAAGTTTTAGGTTTTATTCAAAAAGTTAATTAATAATATAATATTTGGTCGACTCCAAACGTTACTGGCATGACACTTATTTAGATTTCGTGTAATTTTCTGTAAATTTAAATTAATTTTTACTCAGAGTTTGTAAAAAAAAAAATGTGTTTCAGCGTTGATATGAAGTGGCACTACCGGTTAGCCGATTTTAAGGAAAAGGTTGCAGCGACATCTAAGGCATATACCTATCTTAAATACGTAATATCAGTTTCTTACGACTTTTCGTTTTCGAGCTATAGTGTTCACAGACACAGACGATTTTTCGGAACTTGGTCATTTGGAATCAGGGTACCCCAAAACGTATATTTCCGTTGAAAACTCAGATTAAAAAAATTTCACGATATCAATACTTACCCTTACTATATATTACATATAAACGATGTAAGTGAAAGTAAAAAAAAAGGCAATTATTTATATTTATGTGAACCACTCGTAACCCGCGTAGTCCTAAATAATTACTAAAAAAAGAGCCTTATTTGTGATTGTGTTTATTTCTATTGAAGTTCAACCAACTAGTCGATGTCTCGATTCCCTCCTTAAATATATATCAAAGTTGTTTGCATTTCACAAATATTTTTATATTCCAGCTTAATTAGTTTTGTTCTGACGAGTGAAAACATAGCTATTAAGTATATATCACTACTGTTAGTGCAAAATGTCGTATGTAAAATTTTCAACTTTTATTCTATTTGTGCCAAAGGTGATGTTTTATGCTCTGCAACTGATATAAGCAGTCTGCTCCCATAGAAAATGGCAAAGGGCAATACAATAAGAAATCATAAAGAAACAATTAGTTTTTATGTTCTCCTGTAAAATACTTAATTTTTACGAACATTAATGTTCAGTATACACTGATTTTTTTTTTTTACTCATGAATCATCAAATATAAAATCTGCAAATGCGAAAATCTTCCGCATTTTAGAATTCGCTGATGAACAAAACTCGTGGAAAACAAACCAGTGTATGTTGAGGGATTACTGAATTTCCGAAAACGGCTTCTCCCAGAGATTTTATTCCATTAGTAATTTTGTCCCTGTACACTACACCTTTCTCTATAGGATTTATTTTATTATTCCTCTGAAATTATTGTGGGTTGTTTACATTTACTTTTTAAGTGCATGTTTGGAATTTGGGAAGCAACATAGTATAAATTAATTAAAAGAATCACCTCAAAAAAATAAACCTAATTGTGAGTCTTAGGAAAAAGTATACACGTAAATATTTTACTAGGATGTTTTGGAATTTGTATTCTGTTGAAATGCTAATAAAACTATTCCTAGAAAACCTTTTTTGTAAGTTATATATTATAATTGCAGGTTAAATGTTTTTTTAATGGCTTGTTCGGTAATAAAAACGGTCCAGATTAGCTGGATTTCATTGCATTTATTTATACATTAATGTCCCAGATTAAATGTTTTTTTTAATGACTTGTTCGGAAATAAAAACGGTCCAGATTAGCTGGATTTCACTGCATTTATTTATACATTAATGGCCCAGATTAATGTGGAAGACAAATAATGAAAAGATCAGAATTTGAAATTTGTTAACGATATTGCAAAAAAAAAATATGTTTTTAAAAAATTTAAATGAAGTTCTTAAAAACTTCAGAAAATACGTACTACACCCGGTTATTTCATCTTATTTTTATCCAGGCGAAGGCAATAGCACATCGGCGTTTATATTTTATTTGAAATTATCCAAATTGGATTTAAATATTTTTTGTTTTATTGTCAGGTACACAGACGGATCTACGGGTGAGCAGGGGAGGGGCGTTCGGGCTGAAGTCCTTACCGCCCTCCCCCAAATGGTGAAATATGGCCATGTTTTATAGAAAAAAGATTAAACATTATCTCCTAAAGTATTATTGTTCGTGTAATTACATTTAATTAATAGGACTTAAATTTAGGAATCACTTAAACACCATGTTATATAGGTAGTTAGTTTCTTTCCTTTTTTTTTTCAAATTAATTATCGTTTTTCGTATGCAAAAAAAGCTTCAGGCTGAAGCTCTCCCCCCAAAATTAAATCCTGGATCCGCTAGTGGTCAGGTACATAGTCGATTATTTGGACTTCTTAGTTTAAAATTACGGTAGAGTTATTGGATCCTTTACTTAAAAAGTACATCTTGTTATAAATATGGTGAACCCTACTATAATTTAGGAGTTTTTATTGTGTTAATCCGTGATTTTATTGGCTAAGAAACTTGTATGTAATGAGCAGTGGATTCAGTCATTTCGGAGGGAGCTTTTGTTTAGTAGGCCTTTTGAAAGGTGTAACAATGAGTAACCTTCCCTTGAAGTAGGAACTTCGTTATTCTGTTTTTGTTTTGACAAGTGGGCTGTGAAAGCCAGTCTGAAATGATTGTAAATATTTTTGATACTTTACTTAAATATGTAATTTTCAGAAATGAATGTCTGACATTCATTATTTAAATTCTTTACCCGTGTTCTTGCTGAACGCAAGAATTTTTTTTTTTTGTGAATTTTAAAAATTTGTAGTACATTGATTTATCATAGATTTGAGACGTCTTTGCCTTTTAATACTAATGTTCTGTACGTCAATATTTAATTTTTATAAACTGTAATTATTATCTATGTATTTAAAATTCTGCTGTTGATGTCTCAAAAGCTTTCTGTTTCTATAGAAAATACAAGACAAGATGCCTGGAAACCCCTTTGAAGCAGAACTTCTGATGATGGCTGAAATGGCGGAAGGCCAAAAGAAAACTTTAGATTCAGAGGAAAACAATTCAGCAGGTTAGTGTTACTCTTATTACACCTTTAATGAAATTATTATCACTTCCTTTAATTCAAATTCTTTTTTATGGTAAGTATATTTTTAAATTTGTACTTAAATTTAAATATTGAATAGTTAACCGTTGCATTATAAAGGAGAATAAAAAGGAGAAAGAAGGAGATGGTCCGGGGTGGTGGTAATAAATAGACTAAATAGTAGCAAAACTATTTTATTAAAAGACAACGTTTCGACCCTCCTTTGCAGGTCTTCTTCAGGGAGGTGTGTTCAGCTCCCTAAATAAATATTTTTGCCACTATTTATGACCTTAATTGTAGCTAAGGTAATTTAAAATCTCAATTATCCTATTGTATAAACAAAAACAATCAATAAAATGTAGTTTAGTTATATGATGTGAAGATTTTGTCTTGTCGAAGTGTCTACCTGTGAAATGCGACTAAAATATAGATTCTATTGATTAAATTATCATTGTAACTTCCAAAATATTTCTGTGGCGCCTGTGAATAGTGTATTAAGTGCAATTTTGTGAAATTTAATGAGTATCACTGGAAACCAATTTTTATATCTTTATGTCTAATGGACTAAGTAGTGCAGCTATTACAGATAAGAATATTCCTTTGTGAATCTTGGGTTGAAACTGGAAAATTGAACTTCCAGCCATGTAATTCCAAACTTTCGCTGGAATTTTTCTGAAAATATGATTTTTGCACTTAACACACTATTCACAGGTGTGATTGATTTAAAATCAAAATATGAATAGTAATTATATAGTTAGTTTCCTTGGCTAATTTTGTTTTTACAGAATTTAGTTTTGTATTTCTTCAACTCCATTTCTCTCCCACTAAGTTATAGCTAGTGCAGGACATAATTATTTTTTTTATCAGAAATCTGAGATTGATGTTATAATATTTGGATCATAGTTAACTTTGGTTTGACTTTTTTAAATTATTTATTCTTTGGCCCATATGCTATATCTGGTTTATTTATTTATTTTTGGACAGGATGTTTGAATTGTCTTATTACCCAATACCAGGCTCTAGATACCCAGCAATTTTTTTTTTTTTTTGGTCCTCCCCTTCCTCGCCGTTAAGGCTATATGGGGTTTTCTGGGGCCAGGGGATGTGGACGGGGATTTATAGACGCTTTGGCACCGGGACGCGAACTCATGACTATTTTTATTACACATCTGTCATATATCAGATTGCCGGGCAACGGTGGTGCTGTGCACAACTTGTTAGCACATTCGGCCACCCCTTCCCCCCTACAACCCAGCAATTATTACCTGCCTATAGTGTGCAGGGTACCAGGTTTCTATCTGTCCTTTTGAAACCCAACATTTTCACTAGTAGTATCCGGCTGATTTCCCATACCACCATTTACCTGGTTTTAGTACCTGTTGTTCAAGTGACCTTATTTCTGGGTATCTGATGTTTAAATGGCCTTATCACTCGATACCCAATAAAATCTATTAACCACCACTTCACTATTTGTAATAATTATCTACATTTAATATCTTTGAATATTGTGAATTTTTTTTTAGATAGAAGATTTTTTTACTTCCTTATTTTGGAAAGGGAGGCGGGAAATTTGATTGATTTGATTTGATTCGGCTGACATACTTTTGTACACACCCTGTGTATTCCTGAGCGTTGTGAAGTAATGACATTCTTGTTAATATTCAAAGAGTGTCCTTACGTATAGAATTTTTATATTAAGTAATGTGCTTTTACTACTCTGATCTTGAGGTCTGTTGGAATCATATCACCAGGAATTTTTATTATATATAATAAAAAGATGTTTAATGATCATCATAATCCTTAAGTTATTATTCTTATCCATCTGCTAATAACTAAAATGTTATTAAAATTAGTAAAATTCAATTTTTCTAACTGCAGGCTTACATAGTTATTTCTTGACTCAAGTCTTAACCTACAATATGCAGTTCAGAAATTTGGTTTTCAACCATCAGGGTAGATTTCCAAAGACTTCATAGATCTGTATTTACAAATAATATTCTTGAATAACAAAATCATGTTGAGGACATTGTAATGAACATATTTTTTTCGTTAAGTATGCCAGAAAAGTGCATTAATTTATAATCAATTTTATATGTTACAAGCCAATTCTGGATTGTTATACTGTTAAAACCTACAGAATATCCCGTATAATTGTTTGGTATCTCAGGGTCAATACTTTGTTTTGCCATTTGAATTGTATTAGTGTCCCAGCAATGATGAGCTCTCACTCTTGGTGTTTTAAGTCGTTCAGAGCTGGTGCATTTAATCAAATTCATTGCATTCCTGTTTTCATTCCAATTTGAATTTTTGTTGAATATCTTTGACCATCATCTATTTCTTTCTCTATAGGATGTCAACACTATTACTATCTGTCTCTGTTAAATTGTTTCAGATGCAAAAAGTGATGAGGCATTGAGGCTTGGGCAAAAAAGAAGCAATGAGGAAATCGAACCTGATGATGGGCCCCCCGGAAAAAAAAGAAAAGGAGATTTTGGGAACAATGTATTAGACAGTGCAGTTCATCACTTAGCTACCTCTCAGCTTAGTTTATCCTTAAAAGTATGATTTATTTTCATTACTGCTTATCCAATAACATAGTAATACTTCATTGGTATTCTACATATTTATCTTTTATCAGTTTCAACTTCACAACAATTTTGTTTTCTTTTAATAGAAACCTTTCATTTTCTTCAAAAAAACTTGTTTTGTTCCATACGACTCATAGCTGAGCCTCTTTTTTTTTTTTTCTTCAAATACCTTTTAATGCAGATGAATTAAATATATTTTTCATCCCTGTGGGTAGTGATGGTTTTCATTTCATTTTTAGGAAACATTGGGTGTGAGTGCATGGAAGCATTATGCATCCCAAAGTGGTGAACGTTTGGACCTGGTTGAAATGAGACCTGGAGAATTGGCACAGGCTTTGAAAAGGTTTATTCTAAATGCACGGATTCCTGGCGAGGGGGAATATACTCCAGATCAAAAATATTATTTAATGTTAGGTATGTTAAGTTTTAATTAAAATTATATTAGTTGTTAGTAACTCAACATTTCTTTATCCTTGGATTATTTTTTTTTAAAACTTTACTCAACTAATTGTACCTGAATTCATAGTTGTCTTTATGTATTCTGTATCATTTTTTTTATTTTTTCAGGAATTCAGTATTACTTAGAGAAAAGTGGTAGGATTGATAATATATTTTCTGATAACCACTTTGATCCTTTTATTGATGTTTTGAATGAAGAAGCCAAGAAATTTCAGCAAACCTTTGCAAATAGTATGTACCTGAGATTAATTAAACCGTATTATTTTAGTAGAATGAGTTATTTAAATGTTTTTAATAAATTAATTTTTTAGGTAGTAGTGTTATCACTAGAGTTGAAGAAGAACATCTTTGGGAGTCAAAGCAACTTGGCCCTCATTCACCTGCCACTCTTCTTGCAACGCTTATTTATTTTAATACCAAATACTTCAATCTGACAGTGAGTAGCTATATAAGCAAAATAATATTAAATATTTTATACATGATTAAACATTTAATCTTAATAATAAATAAAATGTCAGGAGAATAGCATTGAAAATGTCCTTTCCTGTCCTTCTGTTGATAGTTCACCATGCATCATAGGATTCTAGCATGTATATATTTTTAAAATTTGTAAAGTCACAAAAACGAGGAATAAATTAATTAAATTAGGCCAAGGTCAACTTCCACATATGCACTTTTTTTTTTATTATTGTATTTATTATCTTCATATAAACATCGGGACTATGAAATCGTATCTCATTGACAGAGAATTGATTTTCCTCAAAGAGTTAAATTTTCCAGTTAATAATTCTGTTTCCTGAAAGCCTTCATTGGATAATTTTATACTTTAACAGGTGTTGTAAAATTATCTATTGTCTGCCTAAATTAAATCTTCTGCCTTTTTACAAGCCAAACCTATTTATGTTACTTTAAAATCTACTCCTGCTCTCAAAAATTGAGTAGACTTATGAAAGAAGACTTATATGTGGATGCAGACGTTGAACATAAATTTAAATCAGGACTATAATTAAGATTTAAAAAATTGTTACATTATGTAATTAGTAAACAATGGATCAGTGCCATTCGTGATTAGCCCATAAAAATATCGAAATTGGTTTCTTGAAGACCTAGTAGAACCAAGGAGTAGGAAATATTTGTTTTTTTATTTCTTAATTATTAGTAGTTTAATTTTTTCTTCTTCTTTATCTTCCTCTTTGTGCCATTACTAGCGTCGAGAAGCCTCAATCCAACGCAGCCATGCCTCTCGGTCCCTACTAAGCCGCCTCATTTCCTGGAGGGTTTTGTCTCTCTTCTCTCCAATCCGCTGTATACTCCAACCGATACAAAATTCTGGTACAGGCCCTCGGCCTTCTCCCAGTGGGTGGAGCTTATAGAACCTTTCACGAATCTTTCTCCTCCTTCATCCGACAAACATGACCAAACCACTTCAACTGTCGATTTTCTAGTAATGTCCTTAGCTCCGCCATCTCCAGATCCTCTCTCATGCGTTCATTCCTGATGCGGTCCCTCCTGCTCTTTCCAGCAGCTCTCCGCAGGAACTTCATCTTGGCTACTTGTCCACCATAATCCAGCTTTCGCTTCCATATGTGAGGGTTGTAAGGTATACAGACTTCTTGTATATGTGTCGTTTTGTTTCCTTGCCAACTTCCCTATGCCCAATTATGCTGTTACAGATAGGGTAATAGACCTGATTGGCTTTGGATATCCTATTCGCTAATTCTGAGTCAATCTTCTCCGTGTTGCTAATAATTGTCCCCAAATAGATGAATACATGCCAACTTCAAGTACCTCCCCGTTACAGATCAGCTGGACGTCCTCTTGTTCATCTTTTGATATGACTAAGAGTTTGCTGAGTATTAAAAGTTGAGTTTTAGAAGTATTAAAAATCATACCTTTGCGGAGGAGTTCTTCCTGCGATTCTACAAGTTGCTTGTATTTCCTGTCCACAATCAGAACGATGTCATAGGCATATCGTAGGCTTTGGACCATAATATTCTTCATGTTCCATTTTCCAATTACTGACCAAGCAGTACGACGCTTATAAATTTTATGGATTTCATCCATAAATATGATGAACAAGAGGTGGCTTTGGCTGTCTCTGCCTGACTCCTCTCTCCATGGGAAGAGGCTTGGACTCTCTTCCATTAATCCTTACAATTCTTTTTGCTGCTTTATAAGCCAATCTAATTGCCGTGGTAAGATCAGCTGGGACATTCTTTGCTGCCAAAGCATCCTATATTTCTTGTCTTGGAACAGTGTCAAATGCTGCTTTGAGATCCAGAAATGCCATGTATAAGTTCTTGTCTCTGTCCATGCTTTCTCTGCGATGCCTTTTAGCACGAAAATGTGATCTTGAGTCTGCCTTCCCGGATGAAAGCCTGCTTGTTCGTTCTCAATTTGGTTCTCAGCTATGAGCCTTAATTTTCTTTCTAAGATTGATGAGTATAGTTTGTAAGCCTCTGAAAGTAAGCTTTATGGGCCTATAGTTTTCACAATCTGTGGAACTACCCTTTTTATGAATAGGGACAATTAAAATGAACTCCCAATTCCTTGGGACTATCTTTGTATCCCATATTTTTTCTAGGAATTGTTAGAAAAATTTAATTAATTCCTGTCCTCCAAATTTTATTAATTCGGTCGGGGGCCATGCCATCCCTTCCCACCGCTTTACCTAGTAACTTAATTTTAATAATTATTAATACTTTTTTATACTGCTGACAAATTAAGTTTATATTTGAATTATTAAATGTATGTAATACATTAATAGTTGTACCTTTCCTTTTTTTTTAGACTGTGGAAGAACATATGCAGCTCTCATTTTCACACATTATGAAGCACTGGAAGAGAAATCCCAACACTACACCCCAACCTAGTAATAATGCTAAACCGTCGAATAGCTCCAGGAATGTCCTCCTTAGATTTCATCCTCCTCAGTCATCTTTAGGTATGCAATTAATTAATTTTTTTTTTTATATACCTCAGGATATTTATTTAATAATCCAGTATTATTTTTAAGTGGTCTCTGTTTAAATTGAACACGAATTATATTAATTATATATGTGATATAGTCAGCAGTTACTTGGTACCCTTGGGCATTAATATATCCAAGGGTGCCTAACAAAACAAGAGATTGAACACTTCTACTTGTGTCCTTATGTTCTATATGCATATATGTTAAATGGATTATTTTACTACTTTCACTTTATTTATCAATTTGTAGATGCACCAAATTCAAAAAAGAAAAAAGTTTATGAACAAGAGGCATACGAAGATGATCCTTACAGATGTCCTGTACACCTTTATGAGTTTTATGTATCTAAATGGTAGGCAAAACTTCCTTTTTTTTACAATTATGACTTGTATTTAACTAATATTGTATTTTATACCTCATGTTTTTATGAGTTTTAGAATTTACAAAAATAATTCATTATCTATTTTTATGAGACTTGTTTTCTCTTGGCTTATTCTCGTTCACCAATTAGTCTAAATTAATTTCATTTTATCAACAATTATTCAAGTATTACTCCCCGGTTCTACAGGTCTTTGTGACCCTTGGCCTTCTAGACTATACCCCTCCATCCCTCACTATCCTTGGCTGCGCTCCTCCAATTCACGACACCTAATCCTTCCAGCTGCTCTTCGGCCTTCCTCTTTTTTTCTATGATTCCCATATCTAGCATTTTCTTCTGAATTCTCTCTTCATTCATTCTGGCAACATGACTTGCCCATCGCAGCCTACCTGCTTTCATATAATTAACTATATCATGGTTTTTCAGAATGGCTGCAATTTCTGCATTGCTCTTGATCCTCCACTTTCCATCAATCTGTACAGCCCCATACATCCTTCTTGTAATTCGCCTCTCAAAAACTCTCAGTTTTTGACAGTGTCGATGGTATATGTGACAACCGGTTTGATCAGAGCATTAAACAGCTTTAGTTTGGTCTTCTGAGAAAGAATCTTTGATCTGAGGAGTTTCAGATTCGCATAATACGCCGTTTCTGGCCATTATTCTATTTTGTATTTCATGGCTAATCTTGTTTTCTATATTTATTGAGGAGCCTAAGTAAGTGAAGCTGGTCACTCTTTCAAACTTATAATTGAGAAGGGAGATGCTGTTGTTTCTCCGGTTAGTTGCGGCTTTTAATAGAATATATTTTGTTTTTTCTTGATTTAGGGGGAGCCTGACCCTGCTATCATCTGCATACGCGCAAATTTGCCAGATTTTATTGGCTAGCGTTCCAGCTTTTAATTGCATCTTTAACTGCCGAGGTGAGATCAAGTTGAACAGTGTCGCCGATAATGCGACTTACTCCAGAGACAACATCGAAGGCATCACCCACTTTTTTCCCAATCACAACTTTGGCAGCATTATCCCTTAGTGTCATTTTTATGAGCCTTATAAGTTTCGCAGGTATACTTGTTTATAGTCTATAAATAGAAGGTGAAGGTCCAAATTATATTCATAGATGAGTCCCATAGTTTGTCTTAAGACGAAAACTTGATCGGTTGTGCCCCTTCCATATAGGAAGCCGCATTGGTATTCACCCAAAATCTTTTCAGTATAAGTGTTGAGCTTTCTCATGATGGCATTAGATAGAACTTTACAGAGTACCTCTAATAATGTGATACCTCGATAGTTGGAGCAAAATTCTTGGCTACTTTTTTTTAATATAGGGCACAATAGTCCTATATTCCATTCTTGTGGTATTTTCTCGGTTTCCCAGATAGCAGAGATCAATTCGTATATAATGTCTTTCATTTTAATGCTACTATTTTTAATTAGATCTGCTACGATTTCATCTTTACTTGGTGCTTTACAATTTTTCAACACTCTAATGCCATCTTTTATTACTACTCTAGTGGGTTTCATTACCGTGGATTGTGTTCCTTGATTCTCATCATTTTTATTTTCAGGAACTTTATTATTTATTACTATTTTCACTATCATCTTTACTATTTGGATCAGTTGCGTTAGTTACATTTAATAACTCTGTAAATTTTCTGTTTTTTTAATCACATTTTTCTCACCTTCCAATATTTATCTTTCCTTTTTCTTGTCTGCATATGTTTTTTTACCTCTTTTCTTAAGGAACAGTAGTTATCGTGGTTCTATCTTGAATTTTCTGTCTTGCTTGATTTCTTTATTGCTCACCTCTTTATTGCTTTTCTACAGTCCTTGTCAAACCATTCAACATTGTTTACATTATCAGATTCACTCAGAGTCTCCTTAACCCGCAAAATTAAGGATGTCCTTCATTACTTCCCATCTGTCATCCACATCCTCTCCTTCAACGATCCTTTTGTCCAGGGTGTCTTGATACTTCTTTTTGATACATTTTTCCTCATCACTAAAACATTCAGTGTTCCATTTAGTTCTCTTTATACTTTTAGATTTCGCTATTCTTTGTCTTAGACGCGCTTTGACCTCTCATGGTCTTTACATCAATTATATTTGATGCATGCCTGGTTCCAATCAACACATGATCTATTTGATTACATTATCCTTTCCAGGTACTCCTTATACGCAAAACTAAACATTTCCGCAAATTGAGCCAGAAGCATTTCATTTTCACTAGTAATATCATGTAATGAGTGCTTTCCAGTTACCCGGTTATTAGGGTGCTAACAGCTTCTTCTTTGCCTATTTTGGCATTGAAATCATCCAAAAGAACGATTGCATCATATTTAGGCACTTTTTCTACACATTTTCTCAGTATCTCATAGAATTCTTCCTTTCCTTCCTCCATTGGGGCATCAATAGAAAAAATAGTTATATTCCTAAATCGCCCCTTCAACCTAATGCTGCAGAGTCTATCGCTCATTGGCTCAAACAAGCAGAGATTTTCTTATTCTTTCATTAATGTAGAATGCAGTACCTGCTTGTCCAGTTCGTTTATCAGGTCCACTGTAGAGTAATGAAAATTCCTTCCTATCAATTTTACCACTCCCACTCCATATCACCTCCTGTAGAGCAGCTACGTCAAGGAAGGATGGGTCAGTGCTTTTTTTAAATGGCGGCACTTTCTCACAATGTCTTTGGGCACCTGTGGTATTTATTGGTAATGGTCCCACCAGACAAAAATTTCCCCATACCCTGATGTTGCTGTCGCCTCGCTCTGAGACTGCTTATTTGGGAAAAACCTTTATTCGCAGCCACCCACCATATTTGATGGGCTTCATTATTCACCAGCTGTGATCCGCCCAGTAGCTGCGGCTGGACATTGATATAATATTATTTCTGATAACACTCTTATATTGTTATTGGCCATAATTGTTTAGAGTATAGATTAAATACTAGATAATTTGTAGTTGGCTTCCTTAGCAAGAGTACTAATAGTTATCTCATGTGTCAGCAGATATGTTGTTGAATAAATGTTCATCATTTGTTTTCTTATGACATTATTTTATTATTATTTTATATTATTATACAGTATTATTTTGTTTTTCCAGCCCAGAGAGTGTGAAATCAAGAAATGATATGTTTTATTTAAATCCTGAAAGGTCTTGTGTTCCTGATTCACCTATTTGGTACTCTACTTCACCAGTCCATCCTGAAGTTATTGAGCGTGCTTTAAACAGATTTAAGATGGTGAAAGAGATCAATTTAGCTCTACTTTCAGATGTATAATTTTCTGATTTGTAAAATTGCATATTTTAATTTTAAGTTAACAAATCAAGTGATAATGATTTGTATAATGTGTATTTTATTAATTCTGTTTCATTTTTTCATCGGAAACAGTGGATGTGTACATTATTTTATTTGAAACCAGAATTTGTACAAAGATGTATTATTTGTATTATTTATGTACTTTTGCATTGAAAACTGTGAAGGAGGTTTAGATAAGTTCACACGTACCTGTTCTCTACTTTCACTTTTAGCTCCTTTGCATAGTGGTTTGGATTTATATGAATTCTTAGAGAACATAAAATATCAAATGTAAAAACTTTATGCTTCATGTAAATTTATTTTTTATAATTTTTCTTTCTTTGTACATAGTAATTTTAGAATAAATCTTTTTATATTCTTCATATTATTTATTCCTTTTTTTTTTAATTATTCTGTTTATGTAAATACATTATTAGATAAGTGGATTTTTGAACCATTCCAGAAATCATTTAAGATTTTGTGAAAAATGTATTGAAGTGTATAAATTTTGTTTGTAAATCTTTTTTCAGAAGCTATTTATTTTTAAGATATAATTATATATTATAAGATATATATTAATTGTATATAATTTATTAGAGATTTTACATTTACTTTTAATGGATGATGCAAATATATTGTTATATACTTTTCACTTTTGTTTTGATTCCTGAAAACTAAGGTATTTGAATTGATTTTTCCGAAACAAAATAACAGTTTCTGCCAATAATTAAAACTATTTCCCTTCAGTAACTCCATTACATTAAAATTTAATATTAGTAACCCTACCTCACCTCAATTATTTCATAACCTGTAATGCAATAACCTCCATTTATTAATCTTCTGATTAACTACTGGTAATTAACTAATTAAATATCTAATATTCAGAATGATATTATTACTTGTTCTCTGATCATCAATGAGGGTATGGTACTTCAAGTTTTTCATGTATCATAGCACTAAGGGCATATACAAGATTTAATTTTGGGGGCTTCAGCCCCAAAGGTTTTTTTTTTTTTTGTATGTATATATTAGGATAAATACTTTGGAAGAAAGATATAAATTAACTATCTATAAATCATGTTAAAGTGATTCTTGAAGTAATATTAAATGTAATTGGATGAACAATAATACTTTTAGAGATAATTTTTAAAAAAAATAAAAAATGGCTATATTTTACCATTTGGGAGGAGGGGTGCTTCAGCCTGTGGATCATTGTACACTTCTTCATTACCAATTTTGATCTTTGAAAATAATTGACCTACAGTTTGATTTTTTTGTGAAAATTGGCTTATTCTGTTTTCTTAGTTTGTTTAATTTAAGTCATTCAAAATTGGATTTTTTGTGCTCTGTATGTAAGTTACCACTGTTCATAACTTTTATTAAATTTCTGTAGAAAAAGATTTTGATCAAATAGAAATAATTCTTGAAACATGTAGCATAATTTTAATTGAGTTTTCTGGAAAGGGATGGGTTTATTTTTTTTAACCCTCTTCTGTAAAGGTTGACACTGCTGGTCACACAATCATGAATGTTGGGTCTGAACTGAAGTCTTACACCATATTTGTAATTTTGGACTAGGAAAAAAAAAAAAAAACGCTTAATATTAATGTTTAGTTTCGTTTATTGAACTTTAAACAAATGATATTACATAATATATATAAGCCTAAGGCATATGGAACATTAAAAAATCATCAGTCTCTTATTAACTATTACATTCATGAAAAATATGTAGTCACAGAAAGAACTAATTTTCATAAAATTAAGAATATATAAATGGAGTTCTTAATAGTATGAAAGCATTTACTGCTGCAATGTCAAGAATACCAAATCTTATTTTTGTATGGCAAACACATCTGCTACCACACCTTTTCTAACACATCTGGGCTTCCTTGGGTCATATAAAATTCTTGATATACGTTTTTCTAGTTAGTTTATTTCATTCCCAAAATATATTGAAGAGAACAAATGTGCATATTTATTTATCTTGAGGGAATATGAATCCTGATGAACTGCAGGAGCTATAGATATAAGTGATGTTGGAATCCTAAGGTTTTTTTTTTACAGTTTCCCGCCTTCTTTTCTTTTTTAGTATTCTTTAGAGTTCATTTATTACCTCTAAAGATGCTTATCTGGATTTATGTTTCTATTGCTTTCTTTCAATGAACCAGTAAGCTATAAAACATATTTTGCAGATAACAGTGGGTCATCTTTCCTCTTCTTCATCTACTTTTTTCAAATATAGAGTATCTCTTGAATGAAGTAGAAAGTTCTAGCTTCACAAAGAGATGAATCAATGAAATCATTGATTTTATCCATTTCAGATATGGGAATTACGATTGCAGGGTGGGAGAAGTGGACTGATTTGATTATCTTGGGTCAGATAAAAAACGGACGTTAAGAATTAGTACACCAGGAATTCTTTTTAATTCTACTATGGGAAGATTCCTCAATGAATAGGAAAAATGAATACTTCAAACGGTACTAGTTCACTTGAGTTATTTTTTTAGGATTACAAGGACTTTTTAAATAGGATTAGAAACACAATAATAAGGGTTAAAATAGACATGGAATCGTTTCATGATATTATAGAAGAACATATTGCCACCGTCAGTGCAAAAGGTCGTATGTAAAAATTTTCTATTTTTATTCTATTGGTGTTAAAGGTGACATTTTGTAGTCTGCAACAACCACAGGCGGATCTACAGGGGAGGGAGACTCTTGGGCTGAAGCCCTCCCCCCCAACAATGGTAAAATGTAACCGTGTTTTATAGAAAAAAATATTAAATACTTTTTCTTAAAATTATTATCGTTCGTGTGATTACATTTAATAGGACTTCAAGAATCACTTAAACACCCTGTCGTATAGGTAGTTAGTTTATTTTTTTTTCAAATTAAGTATTGTAATATACATGTGAAAAAAAAATTTATTTCGGACTGAAGCCCTCCCCCACCAAAATTAAATCCTGGACCGCTAACGGTAACTACTATAAGTAGTCTGCTATAATGAAAAATAGCAGAGGGAAATAGAAAATGAAATGGTACTAATAAATCATAAAGAAATAATCAGTTGTTATGTTCTCTTGTAAAAAAAAACTCAATTTTTACATACGACATTTTGCACTAACAGCTGCGACATGTTTGATGATATGTCTATATTTAGCGAATGCCAGATAAGAAGCCGGTGTCGATAATGGAAGAGGCTGAAGAAGACAAAGACAAACTTTTGGGACATATAGGACTTCATTGGGCCAAAAAAAAAGTTAATAATAAATAAATAAGAGGTACACTATTAAGGACTGAACAGAGAAGCATTTTAGAAACGAGATATCGACAGGAATGAGCTGACAGTCTATCTAACCACTTGGAAGAGGCTCTATAAAAACAAATCCCTCACTGTAAAGCGGCAGAGAGGACTGGAATGTGATGATATATTGATTCATTAAAAAAAAAAAAAGGTCGGGAGGATTTGGAATATATTTTTGTACAATAAGTTAATTTTGGTCTAATTTTTTATTTGTAATCTACAATCAACCGAAAAAGAATGCAAACATAAACAAAAACGGTTCTATCCGATAGTATTAATAAAACTAAAACAATTACGTGAACATGGATCATTAACAAGCAATGAAAACCGTCAATCAATACTATTTTCAAAGCATAGGTCACATTGGAAGAAAGTTATTTGATTACAGTTTGATTATCCTGTTACTAAAGTTGAAGAATGATAGGTTTAATGAACTTAATGATACTGACTTTTATTTGGCATTTGGTACTTGAACAACCATTCCCATCGAGAGGTGCTTCTAAACTTATAACATTCCAGTAGTAAACTGAAATTTAATTTGAAAATTTCAGGTCGGCTTCAGAGCCTTATTACTAATAAACAAAATCGTTTGTGATCATATTTAACATTTCTTTTTTTGTTATTCATTGATACTCCTTTGTACCGTTAGTTTAACAATTTTTCCTGAAATTTATTAATAGTTTAAATATTAACGTTACATTTGGCATATGTATATCTAAACTACCAGCTTCAATATTACTGGATTAGTGAAACACAAGTTTTCAAATAACGCTTCCATATTTTCACATTCAGAAATAGCAAAATGTTTATAAAACTTTGATCATAGTGATATTTTAAAATAATTGATTTCCATTCAAGTTTTAAAATAGTTGTTTGCTAATCCTTTTAGGCCAAAGAGGATTCAATGACGTCATAAAGTTGTTACTTACAAAGTGAACTACCTTAGAGCATCTTTCTACCTCTTTAAATATAGAGATTCTTATAACTTCGATTATATTTTGTACACTGTTGTGGGTTTTAGTCACTTGTGTTGTTTAATAAAAAAGATGACTTCAGCTCCATTAGAGTCGCTTGTACGAGTTGAAGAAAGGTTCAATGAACAGGATAAGCCAGTTGATCGAGAGAAGGTATTTTCAGAAATATTTATATTAATTTTCCCGGATGCATACGATTTACCTTTCATGACTATCCATAATTTCTGTGTTTCTCAGACATGTCCTCTTCTCTTGAGAGTGTTTTGTTGCACTGGAAGACACAATAGTCCTGCTGATTATAGAGGTGGCAAGGTTCCTTCTAATGAACTTCAGATTTATACCTGGTAAGAATTTAAGACTTATTAACCAATAGATTTTTGTTTTTAACTGTGCAACGTGAGAAAAAGTGTGTTAGAGTGATTTAAATGTTCCTCAGTCTAATCATTTTTACTTTCTGGACATTCTTTTACAGGCAGTTATAATTTGTGTATAAATTTGTTTATCAATTTAGTTTCTACACTACCTGATAAGTGTCACTGCGACATGGTGGCTGGACTAAGATGACATTGATTATACTGATAATGGAATTCTGAAACGGGCCAAGTGTGTCTGAAAGTAGATGGATGCATCCAATCCCCTAGCTAAAGCCCCAAACCTCAACTGAATGGGAGTGGTGCATATCTGTTATTTTTTTTTGAGTGAGAAGTAGCTGAAACTCTGTTCGGTACTAGTTCACAAGAGTTCCGCAGGGATTACGCATGGTTCACAATCACTACGGTCACACTTGTTCCTGGAATCCCGAATGCGTTCGGGTTTATCTGAAAAAGAACGAAGGCGACCGATCTCTTGGGCCAGTTACTATTAACTTTCCCGCCATTCAATAAGTACTTCTATAACCTTAACCATGTTCAGTTCTATAGCAGGAGCCTTAAATACATTCTAAATTAAGGCTTTCACATCATGAAACCTGAATTGAACTTGTACATATATCATAGATCTGTAAAAAAGAAATAGTAATAGATAAAAACCTTTAATTATTACATCTCTAAATGCTATTTCACGATATTATTTTTCTTATTGATGATTTTCATTATCTTGGAATTATCAGTATATTCATAAATCTTTAATCTGACATTATTTTCATAAAAAGCGTCTTTGACAACTTAATAGTAGACTCTTATATCTTAGAAATCCAAAAATCTGGAAAAAATCGACGAACAATTTTAAATCCGATAGTATATTCATAAAAAGCTCCGACGACTAGAAAATAGTGGGTTCGTATATCTAAGAATTCAAAAAAGTTACATAAACTTGATGCTTAATCTCAAATCTTACAGTAAATGCATACAAAGCGCTCCCCTCCCCCCACTAGAAAATAGTTGATGCTCGTATTATTAGAAATCCAAAAAATTACATAAACTAGATAGATGACAAACTAAAAAAGGCTTGCTAAAATAAATTATAAATGCAATTATTCCAACTTCTTTTGAAAAACTCGAACAACAAATAAAAAGATAATAGATTAATTCAAATTATTTATTATGAAAATGATAAAAAAATATTTTATACACAGTTATAAAAGATAATATACAGTATATGCGTATTTACAGCCACTACATGTAAGCACGTGTCAATAAAAATGTTATTTCTAAAAGTATTTTTTTTTTTAACAGGCCTTGAAGAAACAACTCAAACATTATTTTATGTATTTTTTCTTTTTATTTCACAATGATAATCATTATAATAAAAATTAATAATTGACTAATTAGTAAATACACAATTAGTAAGGAAGTTCCATGAAGGGAATACTTTTTTTTTTTTTCAAAAATGCAGGAAAAGGAGTTGTGTGATGGGGAAATAGCTGACGTCATAAAAGACAACAACATTCGGCTGTTTTCGGGATTTCATGAACAAGTGTGATCGAAGTGATTGTGAACCACGCGTAATCCGTGCGGAACTGTTGTGAACTAGTACCCTCTGTTCAATTCAAACAGTAATAATTTTAATACCTTCATATAATAATTCTAATGGTGTAATTATCTCCTAAATCAGGGGTCGTCAAACATTTTGGTCCGCAGGCCACATCGAGACTTCGATTAAGTTCCAAAGGCTGCAGTAAGACCTCTACTAAGTACCATGGCCATGGCTTGTGATGAAAATAGGAGACTCATTCTATTAATGAAACCCAGTTATGAAATGAGATTCATAAGTGAAACAACTTATATGTGGTAGTAACCTCGCATCTTAGTGATTTACTAAATTTGCTGGAGATCTCTGTCCTAAATCAACAACCTTACATTTAGATAAGTGAGCTTACATTCTTAATCGTGGTTTAATAATCTGCCACATTCTGAATTCTATTGGAGGTAGTGTGATCAATTTCTTCTTGGCTTAGCTGCCATGTTTGAGTGACATTTTTGGAGTCATAATTTAAATGAACACTGTTGGCAAAATGAATGTTGATACCAACTATGCAAATATTACTCCATCTTCTCCAGTGGTCCAAGATCCCTTGTTCATGGTATTAATGGGATTTATATTAATAACAGAGGTTTGATAACATGTTCACAGTATAACATTCCTTTATTTAGGTCAGCATTTAGGACTTCAGTGAACTTACTATGGACCCTTTTCAGTAAAAATTGTGGCATTAGTTAGCTTCAATTACATCACTCCTTTTGCTTCCCACTTGCAACGCTCGCTCTAAAGGGACTGACGTTTCTACAGTAGTGTGTAATTGGATTGTATGATCAATTATCCCTGAGGGATCGTTTAATCTCCTCATTATGTGCATTGACAATTTTTTTTTTTTTTAATATGTGATGGACTTGATATATTATTTTGAATGGCTTCATATTGAAAGGCGCATCTGTCATTACTAAAAAGTTGAGAAATAAAATCATCCATAACAACCTTAATGTTCATTATGTTTCTGACCTGGCCCAATCCAGATATCTGTCCTTCCATAACAAACTTTAGAACCATCCAAACTCTCTCATTTCTAATCTTGCTTCCTCCTCAATCCCTGATAACCCTCCAAGGTGTCTGAAAAGAAGATGGCCTCGAGATCTCCTGTTGTAAATACATTGTTAGAGTGCTACCAGTGGGTAGTTTCTCAACAAGTGTATTAATGTTATTATGTTTTTGTGTTCACATTTACTGAATGTATTTTTATTTCTAATACAGTTGTAAATATCATAAATAATAATAATAAAAAAATTTGAGAAGTTTTGTTCTCTACTTTCTATAAATTGCCTATCTCTTATATGAAGTCATTCATTTGTTTTATTTATTAATGTTTAATTTTGTTGACCATTTGTTTTCTTTTACCTATTATCTTAATTGTAATTTATATGTTCGTGCAGGTTAGACGCTACATTACGTGAAATAACTGGACTTGTTAAAGAAGTAAATGAGGATGCGAGAGCAAGAGGAACAATGTTTGATTTTTCTTTGGTTTATCCTCATCAGGCTACTCCAGGCTATAGGTTTAGACACATAGGCACAACAGTCACTGGCCAATCAAGCCCGAGTGATAATAGAACTCTTGCTTCTCTTAGGTATTAACACATTTTTTGTACAATATTTTTCTACTTTAATCAGTACAGAATGAATAAGTTCGAGTTAAGCGAGTAATTTTTCAGTTGAATAACTATGTGACTTAAAAAATATTAGTTGTTAGTTGTCCACAACTATATTGCCAACTAAATTAGATCTTAAATACCAGCTTCAACTAAAGTAGTTGAAGTGAAAGGAATCCACTACATATTTTAATTGAAGAAAGTTATCTGTGCCCACAACTAGCAACTATTAGTTTAGTTATAGTTTATCTAATACAATTAATCTTCTTCAATGTTCCCTTAAATGGTCAGGTCCGGAATTAAAAGTATGAACTTGACATTGACAACTCCCAAACCAATATAGAGTTTTGTCACCAAGCCAGATCTGCTTCCTGATGTCCTCCAGTTCAGGGCATGTCTGAAGAATATGGTCTGTGTTTTGATCCTCTATTCTGCATCTACAGTGAGGGATTTTACCAATCTTAAAGTTCTTATAAAGGTGTGCTCTCGTCCTAAATGACCCATCCTGAGCCTAAAGGTCACAGTATGCTCTTTTCTGCTCATTTTGTTGTAGTGATCATCGGGGTTATAATGTGGGTGGGCACCATTCCACCTTCGGAGTACAGCTTCTTTATTTATATAGAGATCTCCTTCTGGAGGGTTTGAGTGCAGTTTACTTGAGGGGATGTAACTTCTTTATAATACAATTTAGTTTGTCTCCAATTCTAAATTTGTTTAGTTGAAGTGGTATCAAACACTATAATTATGGTCTAATTACAATTGCGGTCATAGAAATTACATCATCCAGTAAACATTTTATTTTATTTACCAGATTGCTACTGCAAGATCTCTGGTATTTCTTTGCCAGTTATGAAATGGTATTCTAAAACCAATCGCACAATTAAGTGGTTAAATTGTTTTTTTGCTTTTAAATTTATGACTGCCGTTGATTGGTGGTACCCTATTCTCGTTACTATTTCCTGTGAAAATTCTTTTACTTCATGTAACGTCACAATTTTAATATTTTTTGACGAGGACAGTTTTTGATATAGGTCATAATTACAGCTTTTATCCTGGCATTAGTTAAAACTGGACTGAGAAATATTGTTAAAGTTTATTTGTATCCTTAATAAGTAAAGAAAAATAAAAACATTCAATGGGATCGTTATCAACATAAGAATCAAAAGAAATAAGTGATGCAATGTCTATGACCGTGACTGTATATGAATATTGTTTATTAGTATAATGTTATGATTCCTCATTTACTCCAGTATCTATGTAATTTTTTTAGATTTATTTAATACTGAGGTGGATCAATATTGGTGGTGTAGTTTTTAACAATGCAATTGATTTTAAGATTACACCCTTGTGTGAATCAACTTACAGCCTTTAAATTGAGGTCCATTATTATGTTATCTAAAACTGTTTTAAAAACAGCCTTTAAATTGAGGTCCATTATTATGTTATCTAAAACTGTTTTAAAAAAAAACCTATCTTTAAAATTTGTGGATTTATTTTAACTTTTCGGATTTATTTAATGTTAAAATCATATTCTATTATATTGGAGGCATAGTTTTTGAAAATACAAAAATAAAATAAATTTTAAGATGTTAACTGAATTTAATATTTGCGAACAACTAATTTAGTTGGACATATGGTTGTGAACAAGTAACGACTGATAGTTTGTAATTGAGAGCTTAATTCAATTAAAACATTAAGTTGGCTATACCCAACACTATGTAGAATAATAAAGTAATAATTAAACTCAAAAAGATTTTGCCTTAGCTCATTTTGTTATTAGAAAAAAAACAGAGGGACTTTTGATACTTTACTAATTTTTTAATTAAAAATTGTATTGTGGTATGCAGATTATATAAAAATAGAGGGTTTGTTTTCATGCTAAATTATGTTCTTTTTAAATGAAATATTACTTTCTCTTAATGCTTGCTTTATTTAGGTTTAACATTGGAGAGTTCATCGACGTATGTATCACACCACCGTCAAGAGTTACACCCAACATGATGAGGCGTGGAGGTGGTGGTAGACAGTACTGAGGGAGGCTTAACAAGGGTAGGTTACAGTTAGGATAATTGTGCCATACCCTTTTATAATTCATTCCGCCATTGTAAGGAATTGCATTGCCCATCATTTATTGTTGATTTTATAAATTGACATGTATCACCGACTGTTCAAGAGTGGTGTTTTGTATATTTAATTGTTAAATTAATCAGAAGTCAAAATCATTTATATTGAATTTTTATTTAATGTATTATACTTTTTAGATTGTACCATTTTGTAATGGTTTAGAACAAAGACAATAGTTGGTTTTGTACAAAGATATTTATAAATAAATCTTTAGAACTTGAAAATTATAGTGTTTTTTTTTTTTCAACGCTGCATTGTTTATTATTTATTATTTTATCCCTTCTCATGTTAACTAGAAGAAAAAAACTATGATCTCATCAGGTTCAATGTATGGACTTGCAACTGTTATATCTTTTTCATATTTTAGTCTATCTTACACTTACTAATCTTACACTTAAGATTATTAACATCAAGGATTTATTAAGAATTTATTTCATCATATATTTATTATGTGCTAATGATCATGTGCTAAAGAGATAATTATATATGATTAGCCAGTGGTACTGGTTTCAGAACTCTAAAGGAATTTTTTCATAAGGTTTACTTTAATAGAGAGTTCAAAAAGATTATTAAGGTTCTACTTGTTAAAAATGCAATGATCAAGCTAAGAAAATCCAAAGTAGCTACTACCCATGAATCTAAAGAAATGACTTTCAGCATTCTTTAATTAAGTATGGTAATAACATATGTTGATTTCCTCACTACTAAAATGTTCTGATGATAAATAAATGTTAGCATTTTGTGTTTTGTCACTGGTGTAGCAACTTAATGTGTTTTAACTTTTAATGAATTTAAAATTCATTGACCATTTAATTTTAAAATTTCTTCTAAAATACTATTTAAACGAAATTCTAATTAATTTAATGAATAACATGTATTTCAAACAGTAGCACAATTTTCAAACAGTTCTTTCAGTCTTCTTTAAAATTTACCTAATTTATATAATATGCTTCCATAGTGTCAATTTTTTTTATTCTTATAGAGTTATTTTTCTATCATTAATATAATACTGATATTGTTAATTCTATTTCAGAATAGGGAAAAAAAGGAAGACATTTTTTTTTTTTTACTAAACCTGTTTTTATTAAAGGTTTCATTATATATAAAATACTGTCACAAAAACTTTTCTTAGATGGTTGTACATTTTTGAAAAATAGGTGATAGAAATTATTACAACATAAGTACCAGAAAACAAAAAAGTTAAATGAAAGAGATAGTACTAGTGCAATAGATATATTTTTAAATATTACACAAGGAAGTATCAAATGAGAAAAACACCTTGTAATTTACAGAACTGTTTTTTTTTTTTTTTTTTTAACTTTGTTATTAATTGCATGTGTTTTTATTAAGTTTGGTTTTTAAAGGGTAATATTCATAATTTTTACACTGATTTATTTTTTATTTATTTATATCAATAAACAGTATTAACAATCAATTTTAAATTACACTAATAATCATAATGTAATCGGTCATGTTTTTTGTACCCATGTTCTCATATTTAATTTAACTTCCTTGTTTCAATTGACTGAAATTTCATTAGTTTTTCTGGTGCTTACTGTAGAGCAGATCCTATTCTTTAATCTATTTGCAAAATGTCAACTTCCTTTCAAATTGATATATGCAAGTATTAAAGGATTTGGATGAATCAAGCTCTTAAAAAAGTACTCGTTAAATTAATCTTAACAACTTGCTTGTTACAGAACACTACCAGTCTTTTGTTTAAATTATAAATGCATTGCACTTTTTAATATTTTTTAAAAATGCATTAACAATTACATAACTTATGCTAAAATTATGGTTTTGTAGACTTAATTGTAATTACATGTCATAAATTAGCTTGCGGAAAAGATTCAATACATTTGTACAGTTTCCAGCTGAATTTTAAATTTATGTCCTTCGGTATTTACAATTTTTTCCTCAGATATTATTTAATTTCTATAAATTGGCCTCCTTGCCTTGTTTTTTGCCATAGAATCCAGCGCTACTTCTTGTCCATTTGGTAGAACATATTTGTTGTTAGTGTAATCAATGTATCCTTCATTGGTAGCTCCTATAATTGAATCTTGATCTTTTTTCTCACAAGGAATTCCTGAAGAATATGTGTATTCACGCCTTACTCCATCAGGATCATAGTATCTGTTTGAAATTAAACAGAGTTAAATTAATTAATATTTATCATTTATAAATAATAAGATAATTTACTTATGATTGTTTTAAATTTACATGTAGGGATTGTGGAGTTGTGTTAATTGCCATGACATTGTTCTCATAATAGATTCAAAAGAAATTGTGTAGCAAGCAATCATAGAGTGGAAAGCTGAGCTGGATAGAAAGGGAATGATGCTCAATGCAATTAAGAGCAAGATAATGTGTATAGGATAGAATAAAGAAAATGTGGAGACCCGATGCAGAGGAGTAACCTTAGAGAAGACTGAGGAACATACATCCCTTGGTAGAGTCATCAGCAGGAATGGAAAGATTGATGGAGAGGTTTCCAACTGGATTAAAAAGGCAAATAATGTCTACTATCAACTATCCAACACAATTGCTAGAAAGAGGGAGAGAAGTGGACAAAAACATGAAGCTGCACATTTTCAAGTCTATGTACCTACTCTTCTCAATGGAAGCAAAAGCTGGGACTGGACAAGCATTGGAGCTGAGTAACAGTCGCAGAAATGAGATATCTGAGGAGAGTGGCTGGCCGAACCAGAAGAGATCTGGTTAGAAATCAGCGAATACGAGAAAACCTGGGAGTTTCAGCTGTGAAAGAAGTGGTTGAAAGGAGGCAGCTGAAATGGTTTGGGAAAGATCGGGATCCAAGGAAGTACTTCGAAGCTAGGCCAACTGGAAGACCCCCCCCGGGGCAGACCTACTCTAAATTGGACAAACCACATCTCCAAGCTGGGACGACAAAGAGGGCGCGTGCTGAATGCCATGAAGGCACTGGCCAGAGACTGGGATGCGTATCTGGCATGGACTGAGGCACTTCCACGCTGAAAGGCATAAGGAGGAAGAGAAAGAATTTTAGTGCCATATATTAAAGGGTCATTAGTTCAATCCACACCAGTGAAAATTTCAATGGTCAGATACCACTAGGGATTTCTTAGGGTTGTAGAAAAACAATTATTTAAATTGATTCTACAATTATCATTTAAATTGTTGGAATTTCCTATATCACAATGAATTGAAACAAATTTTTATTTGTTTACACTTGATAAGGATCATGAATTATAATCCTATGATTAATGAAGGTTTAACTTATCTAGTTTTTTAAAGTTATGACAATTATGTTTTATTGATAAGATTTGATTGTGAAGTGTCTATGGTTGAACAAATATCTATAAAGGTTGCCTATACACCTTAGATTTGGATTTGTTTTTAAAAAACTAGTGAATAATAAAGTAAAAAATTCTCACCCGTATTTGCCATAAGTTACACAATCTGTTCCGATTGTCTCTTCTTTGAATGTACCATCATCATTTTCAAATCCCCAAGTAATACTGCCATCGGCATTATCTTCCCTATACTTTTTAATTACCTGAAACAAATCAAATTTAAATAAAGAAAAAGAAAAACTAAAGAAAATCGAGAAAGAGACGTTCCTGCTGGCAATAAAAAACAACATAAAATCGTGATAAATCTTAACATATGGTCAACTGTCAATATGTAATAATTATAATACATTTGTTTAAATGCATTAAGTGGAGTTAGATAGAACAACTTTTTACTTTCACTTAGGTATATATGTAATATATAGTAAGGGTAAGTATTACGAACGAGAAAATTTTGGAATCTGAGTTTTCAACGGAAATACACGTTTTGAGGTACCCTGAGTCAAAATAACCAAGTCCCGAAAAATGGTGTGTGTCTGTGTGTTTGTATGTTAGCAGTCTAGCTCAAAAACGAAAAGCCCTACGAAACTGATATTACGTATTTAAGATAGGTATATGCCTTAGATGTGACAGCAACTTTTTCCTTAAAATCGGTTAACCGGAAGTGCCACTTTATATCAACGCTGAAACATATTTTTATAATTTTCTAAAAAACGGCTCTAACGATTTTGATTAAACCCGGTGTATATGGTTACAATATTGTATATTGTTTTTTAAAAGTTTACGGAATTTTCTAAAAAACAAAAAAAAATTCGTTAAAATTGGACAATTAGGAGGAAAGATATGGTCTGTAGCTTTTTTTTTTAATATGTTCTGCTTCAAAGCTTATATCTTTTGTTTTATTTTTTGAATTTTGTTTTAGCATATTACTAATTATTCAAAAAGAGTTTAGTCCAATAATTGGAATCACCTTTAATTTTGTTTTATTTTTAACTTGGAAGGTAATGATACTTTAGATGTATAATTGTTGTACTATTGTGAAATAATTTGCAGAGTTTTTTATTTACAGTACATATTGTTGACTGGTTAATATTCATTTTTTTTAACGTTATAATGTGTTTTGTTGTATAAATGTGCTAGTGTCCAATAGTAAGTCATCTGAAAGGATATTTTATCTTTTTGTTTCAATGTTCAATTTGTTTTATCAGATGAAAATTCAAAATATACCGTAAAAACAGATTTTATCCCGGAAGAGGCGAAAATTTGGATAAATTTAAAATATACTTTTTTAATTGTTGAGAATAAAAAAAAACTTTTTTCTACAGATATTTAATAAAGTATATTTCATAAGAAATAGGTACCTAAATTCATACCTTTTTCACCGTTCTATATTTCAACACTGCAATCACCACCTCCGGAATCAACTTACTCACTGTCTGCATAGATAACTTTTTCAACTAAAAATATCACTAAAATGACATTATTAAAAAATGCTTAAATTGGACTTGGAGTCATTCTGTGGTTTATAAAAGCAAAGAAAGTTGTGTGGTTTATAAAAGCAGATGGAGTGACTAAATTTTTATTGCCTACCGTCGATGTATTAAATAGACATTTTGTAATTATAATGGTCTTAATGACTTGTTATCTATAAGCTTTAAGGTTTATCTCTGTTTAAAATACATTTTAAAAAAAATTATAATAGCCCAGCATTGCCAGAAAGTAATTGCTATTCAAAGTAGAGCGGTAAGTGAAAGTTGTGTGTTGTGCACCAGATTTTTTTAAAAATTATAGTATCTAGATGTTATTGAATTAAATTAAAAATTATTTAATTAACTTCAATAAATTCAGATATAAAAAAAAAAATTAGTCAAGAGATTTATAGATCAGTCATAATTTCTGTTAAATATCAAATATCTATTCAAATGAATTATTGTGGGTGATAAATATTTCAGGATACAGTCTTTTAAAAAAAATTTTTTTATTTGTGCCAACGTTTCAACCCAAACATGTGGGTCATCTACAGGGCGTGGTTTGAGCACTGAAACTGAAGGCTTTCAAGTACTGAAGTTCAAATGAATTATTGAAGTTAAATCTTTAGCTAACCATTTATTTTGTAAAAGAAATTTTTTTCCATTATTAATTTATTTTAGGGAAAATTGAAATGAAATGCGGAAGTTACACCGAGAATCTTTGATATTTTGTATCGGTATTGTTAAAACCACGTTATTCAATTATGTACGGTGTGAAAATTTTTTAAGAAAATGATTGAATTGTTTGTTATAAATAATAGTATTATACTGAAAGATTGCATTCTTTAAGTTGTTAGTAACAACCAATTTTGGTGTAGTTCTTGAATTTCATATTTGTATGAATTCAATGCCAATAGGCAATGCCTTGTTGGCATAATTATTGATTATTTTTCAAAAGATAATTAATATCTTTTGTTGTTTTAAATCATAAGAATTAAAAAAAATTCTGATTACATGGAGGTCATTAAGAGACTATTAGGTTTATTATAATGAATAGTTCATGTCATACTTGAGAAGTTGGTTTTCCCCTCCTTGATCCTGGAGCAGCTGGCTGCGACTGCAATGGTTCCTGAGGGACTGGCTTTGGCCTGGCCTGCGATTGAGCTCGGTTGTAGCTGGGCTTAGCGTCAGTTCTGCTCCTCACTAGATTTTGCTCTTCCTAAATAAATTAAAAAATATTAATTATGTTAACCACAAAGCAGGCTATTAATTTTGTTTTATTGTACACAATTAATAATATCTTAAATAATTAATTATGATTTATAAATCAATTTATAGTGTTAATAATTTATATCAGTTCATTGTCTTTCTATCGGATCATGAAACTTTTTTTAGTACAATTAGAAATGATAAATCTAGTATATATTTTTTGTAAGATTTCACAAAACATACATTTTAAATATTTTGTATTATAGATGATATTTTGGTACATAATATTACTCAGCATCAGATCTAAATAACCATGAGGGAAGAGAGAGTTGATTAGAGACATGATGGTACTCAAATTAAATGCCAGAATTTGGAAACGTTACTTAATGAAATATTTTATTCGCTTGTATTAGATTTTCTTTTCTCATTATATTGTAATCGGATTATTTAGAATGATGTAAAACAAATAATTTAATCCATTTGAAGCTAATGTTAACCCTAAGCAAGGATACAGGTTTAACACCGAAATTATAATATACATATAATTTTTTAAACATGAAAACAGTTTTCTTTGAAATTATTTGTTGTTGGGTAATTATCAACCCAAGCAATTGAAGCGAATTTCAACAAGAAAGTCACCAACAGATTAATTGGAAAATTTTAAATATTAAATTATTTATTTTGTTGCTTATTGATATAATAACCCGAGAATCTCAACCTTTAATGTACAAATCTAAATTAATGACCTGTGCTTGCTGTATCCTAGGTCTTGAGTAGCTCTGTTCTTGAGAAGTTGGCCTTGTCCTCTGATATGTCGGCTGGGCATCTTGGATCGTAGGACGAGGAGGTCTGGAATATGTTGCCTCCTGTGATGATGCTGGCCGTCCTCTAGAGAATCCTTGGTCTTCTTGCGATGTCCTTACCTTTGAAAAGTTTTCATCTATAGGGCTTGGGCGTGCTTTGGCGAATGCTGGTTCTTCAGGTGTTTCTTGATGGCTGTTATCTTCTTCAACACTTGTTCTCGGTCTATATGTGGCTGTTTCTTCAGATGGGAACTGTAACATGAATATATAAGTCAATAAGTTGTTGTTTAATAATGAAATTTAGTAATTATTGAATACCTCAGATTTTATTCAGTTGTCAATATAATCCAATGAAGTATAAAATAAAACTTAAGATTTGTTCTATAATATTTCAGATGCCTTGATGGATCTCCATAGAATTCCATCATTAAATATAAAAAGATGAATTATTCTTATAGATTCATCTTCTATATCAATATATACACAAAAAAGAATTATTAATATTATATAGATTAACTTAGGAAATTATCAGTAACTTCAACAATTAAGGCCAATTTATGCACTGCTAGTTATATAAAATGGAATGCTTCGTCATTCTTTTTATTGATACTAAGAAAGTTTTACAAATGTATTAATAAGATGTTTATTAAGTAAACTATTTAACATTTGACATTAGGTCCTATGAATGAGAGGGTCAGCTGGGGTCGCAACGCCGTGGCCGCAACGCTGTGGCCCAGTCTGGCCATATGGTTCTATTTATTAACTTCTTTATTCGCATTAAAATAAAGTATAGATAATATTTCACTCATTATCAACAACTCGCCTATCTCATTCCATACTTCTGTAAAAAACCTTGGTGTTACCTTTGATCAAACTCTCTCTTGGAAACCACACATCTCCCAAATTTCCCGTCGTACTATCTCTACCCTGAAACAGTTTATCTGTCTCAGCTATCTCCTTCCATATAAATCTTGACAACTCCTGGTTTCCTCCCTTGTGTTCCAACACTTCGATTATGGCTGTCTGATGTACAGCGGATTCTCGGGAGAATTTGAGGCCAAGATTTAACGCCTGATGAACTGTGCAATACGTTTTGTTTTCGGAATCTCAAGAGATACGCATATAACCCGGTATTACACCAAGTTGAAGTGGCTCTATCCATCCAATCGCCGTCTGTACTTCCTTGCTAGCTTTCTATACCGAGCCATCAGAACTCAGCGACCTTCCTATATTTTTCACAGCCTACAATTTAAATATTCCATTCAATCCTGTACCACTAGATCCCGTACTTCTGACCTCTATCCACCTCCTCACCGAACTGCTGCATTTAACAAATCCTTTATAATTCAAGCCGTCTCCATCTGGGATACCACCCCTCCCGATATCCGACATGCGCAATCAGTTTCCTCATTTAAATCTCTCCTTTTTAAGCACCTACTTCTTTCCCAACCCGATTGATCATGAAAAGTAGATAAGAGAACTTTTTAAGTTCCCCAAGAAATGGTTTTGTTTAATTATGTTATTTTATTTTCACATTTTTGTATTGTATATATCTCTATGTATTTAGTGGTTTTGTTTTATTTTTCTTCCAATATTTTTATTTTAGTGAGCATTGTAAATATTTAATTTAATTTTATGGCCACACAGTCATTTCCTCTGTATCTGTAATTTGTCCTAAAGGGACAAAAGTCACAGGATAATAAAAATCTATTGTTGTTTCATTTGATTATGTAATAATAATGCAATATTTTTGTTGTATAGTTTATAAAAGATTTTGGTTGAGTTTTAGTGGTAAATTTAATATTTGGGCCTCCTCAAATATGGACATCCATAGGAAAATTAACTCTGGGACCCTTGATTTCGCTCCACGGCTGATCTGTGATTTAACAGCAGGGTGTTAAGTGTCAACATTGATGTTCTACCCAACTCAAGCAAAAGCTTCCATTATAGGCGATGCATGATTTCTGAAATGGTTAATGTGTTTGTGGTTGTTACCTGTTGCCTGGAGGGAACTGGAAGATCCGCTGGAGACAGCGAGGCCCTGAATATGGGGGGCTGGAAGGTGGTCGGCTGGTAGGTGGGGGGCGGGAGGGTGGTCGGGGCGGGGTCCTCCTCGGGCTCCACGACGGGCCGCGGGGGCAGCTGCGGCGGCGGCCTGCTCCTGATGGCGGGCAGCTGGACCCCCGGCGCCGAGGCCCGCCCGCGGCCGCCTATCCTCCGCGGCGGCAGCGCCACCGGCAGCGGCCCCCTGCTCCGCCCCACCGGCAGCGCCCCGGGCACCACGGGCCGTGGCGGCAGTGGGCCCTCGTACTGCCCCGCTGCTGCTGCCACCGCTACTGCCTGAAAATAGATAACACCATTATAAAAACTAGTATGTTATATCAAAGCTGTAATGGGAACTATTAAGATTATGATTGAATAATTATTGCTATTCCTTTTCTTATTAATCCGTCGTATTGATAGATTCAAATATTCATACATGTGCTCTGGGGTGTGAATAGCAGGTTTCGTATTTTTTATTTGGAAATGGGGATTTCGCACATATTTAAAAGAATATTTCTTAAAATAAATATATTTTTTTTAATGACGATAAGAAGCTATATGAAGTCTCCCTTAATATCTTATTACAATGGAGCAATAAGTTGCGTTGAATGCGTTCCTATAGGACCATATCGTAGGCGTTATGGAGGCTCGACCACAACAAAGCTGTTCGAAATCTCCAAAAACCACATACACTCAAATTTTTCTTGAAAATCCAATACCCTATTTTTGAGGTTTACGTAAAAAATAAATAACATTTTCCATTCTTACAATTTAAGGATTTATTGTATTCAAATTAATTTGCACTTAATTAATTTTCTTCCTAAGCATATTATCATATCTACTTTTATGAATGTTATGATTCTAGTTTCAGGAATAGAAAATAAGTAAAACTATTCCAAACAAAGTTTGAATAAACAATAATATATATCCAATTAGAATTTTACTACCTTTTGATTTATATGGAATTAAATGCAACTAAGAAGAAGTCAATATAAAAAATTGAAATCTATTCTGGATTTTTATTAATTAATAGATACATATATCTGGGAGCCGGGGTAGCTGTGCAGGCTAAGGCGCTTGAAATAGGAAACCAAATTAAGCAATGCCCGAGCGTGGTTAGCACTTGGATGGATGACCCCCGATTTTGGTGACCGTCCACTAGGGAAAGCCACGCTGCCCGAAACCCCTCTCCTGAGTCTGTGAGGACCGTCAGCCTACTGGAGGTAACTCACACCGACGGGGCGTAGGACTGGTGAGCCTAACCCCCTGTACTTAATCAGAAATCGGGATGTGCTCTAGAAGACCACATCTGGCGGTCATATATCTACAAGGTCTGTAGCGCCAAACGGAAAAAAAATAAATAAAAAGATACATATAACTATGATCATTGTATACGTTTTAAATATATAAAAAGATGTATATAATAGATGTTATGGAATTTTTACAGCTTTCAGTTTTAATGTACTCCTATTTTTTAAAACTATTACTGTAAATTAAATCATATTTATAAAACTGTTCTGTAAAAATTAAAAAAAAAAACTACGTTATCTAGTTGTTGTCCAGAAATGCTCTATTGTTTAACTTAGTATTATTCATTTACTTTTTGTTTCTATTAAATAAACATGATTATGTTGTATCAGTTTACTTTTAACATTACTTATTAATCGGATCCGCATATCTTGTAGGATTTTACGATTGTATTATCAGCTGACTCTACGGCGCAGTTAGTGCTGTTGCCCCCTTAACATGCCTTGATTCTGTTGTTTCGACCTGTTGTTGATTGGTCTTAAGCGCTTTGTCACCTGTTACGCTTTATTCTTATAGAAAGTGTGACCGGAATGTGGTTGCATACATCGAGCCCTTTATTCTCCCGGAGAACTCACTATCAGTGCAATTTCCAATTTAGCCCCCAATGGTGTTGAACATCGCAACTGGCCTTCATGCTACAATATTTCACCTGTCGTTTCGTTTTCCTGTTAATTTGTTTGTTGTTATATTTGAAAGTAGCTAACCTACAATATTATAATACTTATCAGGTGTGAAGTTTTCTGTCTCTTTATAAAAATATGTAAACTGGTATATACCAGTGTATATTTATGTTAATATTCAGTTTACTTTCTAACTATATTCATTTCTGTTTTGAAGTTCAATAATTTATTAGGTAGTTATTCTCTTTATTTTTTAATTATTTTGTTATTTTCCAAGAAAATTAATTTTCCGCTAGAATTCAGCAGGTCGTTGCTAAACTCAGTATCAATCGCTGTCCATCTCTGCTAGATTTATTCTTTTGATGGATTCCTTCGATGGAATTAGCTCTGAGCTTAGAAACTTGCCCGCACCAGGATTTGCTATAGACTAGTATGCAGTCAGATTGTATCATGTCTTCGGAAGTATTAAAATTAAAAAGAAAGAATAATAATTACGTTTATTTATAAGAGGTTTGTATTTACTTTTAAGATGTTCCATAAATTGAAAATGATGACTGTTTTTGTTTTTTTTAATTTGTTTTATTACGTAGGTAGAGATCGTGTGTGACAGTTTTTAATTATTTAACTTTCGTGTGTATACTTTCTATCGTTTCTTGTAAATGTACTTTCTAGTGTTATGCTAGAATAGTATAACGCTATCAACTGGGTTATACGCTAACACGACACACTAATTACGTCAACGGTTATGTAATAACATTGTTAGTTAATTGCATTTGTAAAATAACAGAGAATCGATACTTGAAACGGTGCCGCTTCTGACCATATTCACTCGGCCGTATATCATCCACATCTTTCTCAGTATATCATCGCTATCAAGTTTCCACCTTCAGGATACTACATATTGTCTTCACTGTGATGTTAGAAAGTAATAAATGAGAAGAAAATTGGAGGATATAAATCGTTAGTATTGTTTGCAAAACAGGCTAGCCAACTGCCTTTTCCAAAGAAAATATCGTATTCAATGGTAATTAAAGGATAATATCATAACACATTTTCCCTCTTTTAGATCCTATAATATTTTGTTTTGAGAATACAGAAATCTTCGAATACATACTTCAGAACTATTCACGAAAAACTGTTTAATTTTTAATTATTATTAATTAAAATAGTTGTGTTCAGATATAAGTAAACACTGATTGAGGCCATTTTATTGAGATTGTCTGGTTAATATGTAGTTAATGTTATTAGATTCCTTAATAGATTATAGAAAAGGTGATAGGTTCTACATTTTCCAGTTAGTGTTGCCCCATCAATGTGCAATGTTAATGAAGTTTTTATGATTACTGGTGCTATATAGAAGGTAGGTCCAAAAGCCTTTCACATTCGTTGATATTAAATTTATAATAATCATAGAACATGTATTTTTATTGTTACTATTTTATTTTATTCAATAAGTATGACTCAGCATTGTGAATAAAGACAAAATTTAGGGGTTCTTCTACCTGTTTGTTATAAATTAAGAAACAAAAATGATTAGAGAACGAGGAAACATGAACCGAAAAAAATATAAATATATTGAAATACATACAATTGTATTTTATTTATAATCATCATAGAAAATTGTTGTTTGAACGTACGTAAATAATTTTTACAAGTTAAAAATACTGTACTCCTTTTTTTCCTAATCATCAAAACTGAAAATTGGACAGAAACAGAATACACATACATACTAATTTAAACCCATATGGACATACGCCACACAGATTTATTTCAGAAAAAATACCTAAAAACGTGTAATCTTTTAATAATATCAAAACTATATAAATAACAAAACTACATACCGACTTACATTAACCAACTATCGGCCAACACCTACACTTTATTCTCGTTTTCATAATTCATAATGATTTATACAAGCACAAAACAATAGAATGACATGGCCATGATTGACATGCCTATCAGAAGGCGACTGAAAAGGAGCTGGGTAGGAGATCCGCTGTTCTAAATTAAGCAAGTAAATAAAGATTAGGAAGAGGTACTGCTGGGTACTTTCCTTCACATGCCTTAAATGACATTTGTTTGTGACTTATTGCTAGCACTTTTGTCTAATTGTCACTTTCATCAGTGACAGGTACGAATAGAAAAATTAAAAGAGAAAAAATCAGCCTACACTTCAGACACCGAAATTAATTCATATACCTAAGTTGCTTAAAAATAATTTAATAAACTATACATTTTCCAATAGTCGTATCTTTTAAAATGCAATATACTTTTTTAGCCCAGTCTTAAGAAATGTAATAATTGAATGTGGAATAAAGCATCAAGCACCTGAAGCAGATTCAGGAAGAAAGTAAAGCGAGGAAGAGACCTAGACCTGACTCGTTCGACCTTGTGTCCTAAATCGTTGAGGACGGGCCGCGCCCAAACATTTGAATCTAATTATAATTATTCGCATAAGTTCTTTTTAAGAGTCGGAATAATTTTCCTGTCCTTCGTTATGGAACGGACTTTCTCTTCTGATCCAACAGATGAGGGTCACCAAATGAATGATTCCGATAAGATATGTAGAGGCGCATCTACTTATTTAAATGTCTAGAAATTCTATTAAGTCCCATAAATGGTTTAACATAACTTGAAAAGGCAAGTCATAATTCTTCAATACCTTTATACCTATTTTTTTTTTCTCAACCAGACATCTTTTTCATAATGGTAATGGCTACTCAATTGGGCTCATATTTGGAAGAAACATCCGGATTTAAACAATTTTTTTATGTAAGAGTTTTTAAAAATATATTAACTTGTATTTAACTAAAATAGTAAGGTATGATTCAAGATGATGCTTCAAGTTTTAAAAAGAAAAATTAACTGCATAGGTGTATAGTGTAACCCAGACAATTTGTGGTCTGGAACGAAATTATTTTTGAGACTTTCTAAATCAAAATACTAATAATTAAATTTGAAATATATATATATATATAAATATATATATATATATATATATATATATATATATATATATATATATATATATATATATATATATATATATATATATATATTTATTTATTCCCAACTAGTTGGTTTGTGTGAATAATTCGCATAATATATCGGTCATTTAACAAATAGCAAAATAATATGGAAATGGGTTATTAACATGTCTTATAAGATGGAAAAATCAATTTTTTTTTCCCCTCCGTTGATTAAAATGATTCATTCAATATAATAAACCAAAACGAGTACAAGGTACATTCGAATTTGCAATTAAAATAATAGCATACGTTTTGAGTTGTGTGCTAATAAATTTTCTCTTCCTTCCTTCCTTCATTTGTTACCACAAATTTCCGTGTGATGTGGTTATTTTTCCCGCCT